TTCAGTCTTAAAAATAAAAAAACGCTTGTCCAGAAACAGCCTGCACTGAAGGTTTAGCCAAAAGGCTTGCAGACCTGCATGACTTACACCAGCAGTTTCCACACTCAACCACAAAGTGAGCTAAGCTCTCTTGTTTTTTGCATGCTTTCACATTTTCTTGCGGAAGGCTCTTCCAACTCTTGTTTTAATGACCTTTTGCTTGGAGTTGGCTTTCTTTGCTCGGCTTCCTGCTTTCCCATTGTGCCAAGTGCTCTTACGTACTCGTTTTGTTTTTATTTTGTGTTCTTTATTTGCAACAGCGGTGACCTAGGGCTCTTTGTCCTTGATCTCTGCAAGTTTGCTCTGAACAAGTTTCAACGTGTTCTGGGGCAGGCAGCCTTTCTAATAAAGCACTTTATGGGACTGGTGAAGTTTGACGCAAAAAATGAGCGTACCTGTCCATAATACGAGTCAGCCAGGCAGACCAGATTTTTTTTTTCCTTGTAGGATATTCACACCATTTTATTTCTGGGTTCTGCCTGTAGCAATTTCAATTTTCAACCCAGCACTCGATAATAAAACATGGCTCATTAAATCAAACATAAGAGTTTGTCCTAAAAGTGGTTTAATAAATATGTGTGTCAAAATTTAAAGCACCACTGGCATGTTTATGCAATTTATTATGCATATATGTGCCTGGGGATCTGATACAGTTGCAGATTGTTTTTATATGTCTCTGTCTGTATGAGGCAGCAGGTGAGGTGATGGTGGGGAGAGGAGTTGATTTTATTGCAGTTTTAAAACTGCTACTAGCCAAATACTGTAGAACACTTAAGAGAAATTCCACTTTTAGGAATTTAAGGCCCTGATCCAACAAAACACTTAAGCATGCATGTAACTTTGAGCACACAGATTCTCCCACTGACTCCAGTGGGACTACTCACATGCTCAGTTAAGTACATGCTTAAGTGCTTTGTTGTGTCTGAACCTATATTGAGCTGCTTAAACAGTCAACTATTACAGAAAATTCGCTAGATTGTGTCTGTCTTTGTGTAAATGGGAGACTTGGAAGACATGAAGAGTTACGCCTCTGTGGGCAATGAATCAGAAAAAAATTCTGTCTCTGTTGTACCTTTTAAATAAACCAAATTACTCCTGTTTCTCCTCTTGAAAGAGGTAAAAAGATCCAATGCAAAGAGCATTTTTTCAGGTTTCCTCAGCAAGACAAGCTTTTGCAATCAGGAAATCAATGGGCGATCTGGCTAACTTTGGTTTTTGAAAACTGCAGCTCTTGTCATTCTCTGAGGGCTTTTTCAAAAAGGTTCAGATGGATTATTTTTTAATTACAAAATCATTTTCTCTAGGAGGGCTGATATTGTGGGCTGCATATTAAATGAGTTTTCACATTTTTTGCCTTTTCCCCCCTTTTCAAATGTAGCCATTGTATTAATTTTTTTAGAAACCTGCCAACTAGTCCTTGTTTTATTTCTCTCTCTCCTTTATGTGTTTTTGCCAAGAGGTCTTTTTTATTCTAAATTTAAACTGTGAGTGCTGTAACTTTAACTCCTTACATAGGGTAACATTTTCCAAAGTACTTAAGTGACTTGGGAAGTCAATGGGATTTAGGTTCCTATTTTGAAAATGGTGCTTGGTGCTCCTAATTCACATAGATCCTTTTGAAATCTGTTTACCCATGGTCTCTCTCTCTCAATCTCTTCTCTGTCACTATTGTGATACGAGAAAGGTGATGAAGTAACTTCAGTCACAATCTTTTGTGCTAGATTTTAAAGAGCTTAGCACCCAAAAATTGCCATTGTTCCAATGGAAGCTGCTGTGGGCTGAGAACTTTTGCACATTTGAAACTCTAACCACTTCATTCAGGCTCTAAATGCACTTAAAAAAAGAAAAAAGAAATCTGGCCTTCTTCTTTTAAGGAATGATGCTAACCGTGTATTTCTTTATGGCTTCTTTCTCGCTAAACATTTTCTATTGCTGTCCAACAGTTATCAAGGTGATGTAGTTCAGGAAGAGGCTACAATATCTCTATTTTACCATCTGAGACAAGAAAGTATCTAGTTAATTGGGAGTTGCTTTTTACTGGAGTTAGTGAACGGTCTGTAATGCTAAAGGAGGCCTGTCTTCCTCTCCCACCCAATCCCCATTTCCTTCTTCTCTTCCTTTCACTGTAATGGCTCCTTCCTACCTTAAAAAACGACTGTAACCTCGTTCTCCCCCTTACCAACGAGACTGTACTGCCCTGCTGCCCCCAGAAAAGAGCTATAAGTTAGTTCCTTGACCTAGTCTGCAAGGGCTGCTCTGGTCACATGCACTGCCCTATTGTGCAATGCCTTCCAAACTCTTCTACACAGGTTGCACCCCACTTACTCTGCCTTGGCTGGGTGTAATCTTTGGCCAGCTGACAATGGCTGGGATTGTCAAAAGAGCCTAAGGCAGTAGGGCACCTAGTTCATGTTGAAAACTAAGAGGATGTGAGTGCCTAACTCCCGTAGGCTCTTTTGAAAAATCTCAGTCTAAATGTCGAGGAGAAGAACAGAGGGGTTGGTGCCCCTATCAAGACACGGCCTGAGAAGAGATCACTGAAGGGCTATGACATGTGGTGCACAGAGGAGAGGATGGACACTTTATTGTATACTTTGAGGAAGTGATGTTTGCTTGGCTGGAGTGAATGACAAAGCAGATACACGTAGCTTCTTTATGAACTCACAGAGGAGCAATGTCTAAACTATTGCAGAGCACTCAGTCATCAGATGCCTTTAAACTCTATCTCCCTCCTGCCCCCCCCCATTGAAAAATACATTACACATGAGTCTCTTTAGTCATGTGCTTATATCCTGCACAGCATTAAAGAGCTGCTGCTATTGTCTCATGGAAATCTGTTCAAAACATTTTTAATTAAAAAAAAAAAAAAAAAGACTTGTAGAGCATTCTTTTTATTACCAAGTTTTGTTTGCTTCCAGGCAGCTTAAAGCAAAGGGCAGATGTGATGTTCATACCCGCAAACCTATCCCAGTTCACCCTGAGTCAAGGGCTTGCTATGTTGTCCAGCTGAAACTTGTGAAAAATTGTGCTCTTTTTTTAGCCCTGATTTTAGTAGCTCTGTTAATTTCTACAGTATCATGGAGACCTTTAAGAATCATGTTAGAGGTGCACATGTATAAAGATCTCAAAGCGATTTATGAATATTAAGGACTTGTCTACATGGCACTGGCAAAGCACCCTAGAAGGGTGTGTGTTTTTTTTTTTTAAAGCGTTCTAATGTGCTGCACTTTAACTGGCCCATGTAGATCCTGCTGGCACACCTTACATTTTAGACCCCTGCCCTAAAAGGTGCCTATTTTGTGTTAACATGAGCTAGGTACCTTTTACAGCATGCCAGCCATGTCTACGTGGGGCAATTAGAGTGCAGCACATTAGTGTGCTTTACCAATTACATCTCTCTGGCGCACTTTGCTGGCCCCATGTAGACAAGCCCTAAGTGTGTGTGTCTGCTGCTGTGCAGTAGCTTAATACAGCTGAACCTCACTAACTTGTATAAATTAGCCAAATACACCTTGTAACCAGCACACCCGAAATGCCTGTTTCTCCCAGTGTTGCTGACTCTTGTGATTTTTGTCACAAGTCTTGCAGTATTTGTTTTTTAAGCCCAGCTCCTGTCATCGCAGGATTACATAAAAATCTCAGCTTGCATGTAGAAAAACAAAGTAAGATCCAAAAGCTCATGGTTGTGGAGAAAAGGTGGAAATGTGGATTCTAACCAGAAAGCAAATCAATGGAATCCACAATTTTGTATATATAACATTTAAAACCTTATGATTTTTAAGCCATTCTCATGATTTTTGGGGGCCCTGACTCATGGTTTTTGAAGACTTGAGGTTGGCAATACTGCCTCTCCACTTATAAGCAAAGATTTAATAGCAGAAAGCAAGGTCTCTTATTACAAAAATTACATTACTTCAGCAAAATGTACTTTAATATAGAGAGCTTAACATAGTCAACTGGAGTAAAACAAGTGATGAACTACTTTTTTCCCATGCTAATGCCAACTAAACAAAGACATTTCACTGTTTTGCCTGTTACTTTTAAGGGGGTTATTTCTGGGGCTTGACAAACTTAATATTGTTCCTTTTTTAAAAGATTCTTTATGCTCCTTCCTGCTTCAGTTAGCACATGCAAGGTTTTATAGTTAATCTAATTTAGCATATGGGACCTGTCACGCACAGTACAGAGTGACTGCCAGACTGGCCCAGCTGACTAGCATTTTGGTTCCACACTACTCTGTCTGTCTATATTGTGCTGTGGGTGCACTATGTAAAGTCTCATTCAGGTCACCAGACTCCCAGTATTAGGGGCTTTGTCTTATATATGCAACTATTGCCTCCCGCCCTCTCCTCCAGAAGTGTCCTGATTTTTCACACTTGCTATCTGGTCAAGCAACTTCTCATCCATTTATTGCTTGGGTTGATAAAGGACTAGGATTATTCTTCAGGGAGCCTGTTTAGCCTATAGTAGGAGCTAGAGCTTATTGCCTTTGTAAAACACCCGTTCCTGTCTGGCCAATGGCCAAACAGTTGTAAAATACTGTTTAGTGTGTATATATACTGCTGCTCTGCTGTGCTCAGGTCTTTCTGACTGGTTTAGAGATCTTTTTAAAGCGCAATACTGTATTAATTACATATAACAGAGATTTAGCTCAAGTAGTGGTAGCCTGTGTTTTGGGAGCAAAAGGATCTGAATGGAATAATAGATGACAGTGAGCTGTATATTTTCATCACCTATTACTGACTGGCTCTAGAGAGGGAGAGGATTCTTGTGAGATCTGGGCTCCCAAAAAAGTTGAAGCATCTCTTCACCACCTGAGCTCTCTATTGTTTGGAAGTAAATATACAAGATGATTATTCATGCAGGGTTACCTGTTTCTGGTCCTTACTTTGATCACTGCTTGTGATACAAGTAACACACTTAAGTGATTAGACACTTGCCTCCCATCTCCATTCTCCCAGGTTCTAATTGACTGGATTAATGATGTCCTGGTGGAAGAGAGAATCATCGTTAAGCAGCTGGAAGAGGACCTTTATGATGGGCAAGTGCTGCAGAAGCTTTTGGGTGAGTTGAAGCTACAGAAGGGGGGCTTTGCAAAGAAGTCAGCCCCTTTGGTTTGATGGCTAGTTGCCCCCCACAGACTAGCTGTCTGCAGCTTTGGTAAAGTTAAATATTCAGCCCATCCCCCTTGGCAATCCATTTAATAAATTATAATGGTTCATCTTTCAGCCCATCCACCAACTTTAGATCTAGTGTGTCCACTTTTGAAAGTCTTTGGGCTGAGAGCAATCCATTTAATAAATTATAATGGTTCATATATTCAGCCCATCCACCTTGGCAATCAGGCACAGCGTCAGCCTGTCCTATCTTTCTGCCCATCTGTTCTGTTCATGTGACCAGGTAGGGGATTGGAATAGACGAGAATCCTGCTCCCCAGAATGTGTGATTCATGCTGATGTCTAAACTCCGTCCGCTCAGGAGAACATCCCAGATAGATGAAATGCGGGGGAGGAGACATGTGCTAACCTTGGTCAATCAAAGTGAAACTGGCCTAACTTTAGATCTAGTGTGTCCACTTTTGAAAGTCTTTGGGCTGAGAGCAATCCATTTCATAAATTATAATGGTTCATCTTTCAGGTCAGACTGGACGCTCTTTCAAAAATTAACTTTGTACGATGTGGCATGAGTGGGGTACACACACTGTGCCCTTACACGTGTCTTGGGTTTGGGGGAGAGAGGATCTTCAGTCAATCAGTAGGTTAAGTAAATAGTTATTCTATCTATCACTCGGCATCCCCCTTACACCTTCACTTCTCCATTTGCAACCATTGTCCCCTAATAGCTTCTACCCAGAATCCTTTGTGTCTCAGAGGAGGTGCTGCAGGAATCAATGCAGTGGTTCATAAGCTAGAAGCACCCCATGGAGAGACGTAGGCTATATCTGCGCTACAGACTTTCTAGCGGCACTGCTGTACCACTACAGCTGTGCTTCTGTAAGGTCTCCCGTGCAGCCGCTCTTTGCCAGCAGGAGAGACCTCTCCTGTCGACATAGCGCTGTCCACACGAGCACTTTTGTCGGTGAAATTTGTGTTGGTCCTGGGTGTGTGTTTTTCAAACCTGACTGACAAAAGATTTACCGAAAAAAGTGATATTGTAGACCAAGCCTCAGAGCTTCAAGTAGTAGAAGATCAGAGACATGCTAGAGAAACAGGCTCATAGTTTCCTTAATTCTTGTGAGCCACAGATTGAGAGTGACTGCCCATGGAACGTTTTCAGTGATCTGGAGGGGCTGGAGTGAGGGGTTTCAATTATGCTAATTTCATTAGGCTTTATGGATGCTGTTTTCTGAGTTTCCCCCATGTGCCACTTAGAAAGAGCCCCACAATGTTCCAGTAAACATTCACAAAATCTTTTAAACATTGATTAACAATAACGGCTTTATTATGCAATGAAAACTCCTCAAAACACAGCTTGTGGGAGCTCAATAAAATGGGAGGAGAGCTTTCTAAATTTTTTTTAAACTATTTATTTAGGAAGTTTTAACAAGTTTACAGATCCTTGTCCTGTAAATGTCAGAAACAAAACAAACATTACAACAATTAGCTTTTGTGTAAAGAGACGCTATCTAGGAATATAGTCACTAGCTCTTTCCTAGCTAACAGGGTGTTACCATATTACAGAGTGACCATCATTACAATACCTGTGTTGCTTCTAGTGACTTTATGAAATGGAGTGAAATCTCTATGCACATGTAGTTAACAGACCAGGTATCTCTCTCAAATATTAATATTAAAAAAAAAACAAAAACAAAAAACAGTTGGATAGTTGTGCTAGGAGCTTCTTTTCTTTTTTGCAGGTGAACTCTGAATACTGAATAAAAAGTAACCCAATATTTAAGTGACTATCTGTCCCCTGTCTATTTTGCTGGGCACGTAATCAGTGTGTCAATTTTTCCAGAACCACAACCTCTTATATTTATATATAATTAATTTTGGAACCATTCCTCAGTGGTTGGTCTATTTTTCTTTTTCCAATGAGAAGCTAGCAATGGCCAAGCAGCTACTAGCAGATGAGAGATTAATTCTTCATTTCCCTTCAGGGGTGCTGGAACAATTTGTATAGTGGGGGTGCTGAGATCCATAGAACCAAACTGCAAACCCTGTACATAATGGAAACCACTTCAAGCCAGGGGTTGTGGCAGCACCCCCAGCACCCCTAGTTCCAGCACTGATGTTTCCTTTGTGTGACCATATCCCCTAAGAAGCCCCAGGAGGATTACCAAAGGATCATTTGGTAATAAATATTCAACCATTTGTGATATTTGGTTACAAATTGCATCCCGATATTCTCTAATGACTGGACATGTCCACCATATATGCATGAAATCTCCTTTTTCGCCAGTTTCTCCAACGTTTCCCCCCATTCAGTCTTTCTCTATTTTTTGACTTTGGTCTAAGTGTTTGTATGGTTGGGGCCATTGAAACAGTATTTTAAATAATTTTTCTTTTTTAGTGCTACAGACTGAGGTTGCTGGTCCTCTTTTCCACATCAAACCCTATTCCTCTGAAGTAATTTGTCTGTCCACATCCTCGTCCCAGCGTGTCATATATCAACACTTTTTTGTGAGGAACATTGTCTGGAAAGATTGATATAAAATAGTTATAATTTTTTTTTGTTTCCTAATTGACCAGACTCCATTGCTTCTATTAAAGGTAGCTTTCTGTAATCAGCTTTTCTAGAGCACTGAGAAGCAGAATGCATGACTTAAAATGGGGGAGCTTTAAACACTGGCTGGTCAGGCTATGACTGAAGGTGGGGGTACCTCTTAGCTGAAGGTGTTTGCACAAGTGCAAATGGCTGTGGATTGGCGGTTGCATTCAATAGACTATGTTGTTTCTATAGAATTCCTTCCTAGCCAATGGTCTTCAGCCACAGCAATTTAGAATAACAAGCATTCAGACATGTTAGTATAAATCAAAAGTTTTGGCAAGGATCCCTCCACGTAGGGTGCCCCAGCCAACCATTTTTATCCCGAGGTGCTCCTTCCTACAAAGTGTGTTGCTTGGACAGCACTTCAGAATAATTGTGGTGTGCTGTCCATTCTCTAGGAGTCAGTTTCAGCATGCTGGGGAGCTGGCATGGGTCAATGGTGAGAAACTGGGAATTCTCTGCTTATGGAAATTTCTGGTGTGTGGCTCCCAACTAGTTGCAAGGGATAATAAAAGGGCAGAAGTATGGTCTCTGCTCTCCCTTACACACGTTGTTGCTGTAGCAAGTGGCGCTGTACTAAATAATCCGAGGTGGGTGTTCCTCATAGGGAGAGTTTATACAAATCAGTGACCTTCTATTGAGGGCACAGTGGCACACGTAAACTCCAACTCTGCAAACATTTAGGCCGGGTCTACGCTACGAACTTACATCAGTATAACTGTCGCTCAGGGGTGTGAAAAATCCCCACACTTGGGCGATGTAGTGATACCGAGCTAACCCCCGGTGTAGACAGCACTATGTCGACAGGAGAAGCTGCCGCCTCTGAGAGGTGGATGAACTATGCCGATGGGAGAAGCTCTTCACTAAAGTGTGACAGCAGCGAGGCTGCACTGCTGCAGCGCTGTACGTGTAGACAAACCCATGTGCTTAACTTTATGCATGTGCATAGCTTTGTTGAACTCAGTGGGAGGTCTTGTGAGTAAAATTATGCATGTATGAGTTTGCAGAATCCTTGCCGAGTTGCCTTTTCCCGCATCTTCTAGCATGCAAGCCTGCCTCTTCTTCACAGGAGAACCACAGTCATCACAACTGGGCTCCATCTCGTGCTCTAGTCAAGGCTTCTTGACTGCTTTAGCCATAGCCATTGCATCGTTGAGGCTAAATGTCTTGTACTAGTGACACAGCAAGAGGTAATGAAGTATGTGGCACTGGAGGAGCTTCTTTTGGTTGGGGTCTCACAATATGTGAGCAAAGTTGACCCTTCATTTCACCCTTTTGCATGCACAAGAGGCTCATAAAGTAGGTTCCTTCAACTTCGTGCACTGCGTGATTGTTATTGTTTCATTCATGTGAAAGATGCTCCGAGATTTAAGAACAGAATTCAGATTCCTTAGAGGATGTATGACAGGTGAAAATCGGAACTTGTCATCTGGAGAATTCTGAAGCCACCCAGAGTGGCAGATTAGCAAATGGGTGATGGACTTATTTAGAAGCTGAACCTCGTTTGCAGAATTTGATCAAGATGATAAGTATTGCCACTGAGATGCCATGATATACATAGTGTCAGCATGAAAGATTAGCAAAATCCCTATTTGCTGGGCTGTCAATACACCCGATCCCTAACTTGTGCACTAAAAGGTGATCAATAACAAGGGAGGTGTATGACAAAAAATTCACTTCCATTGGATGTGAGGCTTTCACCCCTAAAAATATGTTCTAGCTGGGTATCGAGTGAGCTGGCCATTCTTCCCCTGGCCTGAGGAAGGGAAGAGAAGGTACCAGCTCCTCCCTTTGCTGTACAGCTTATTGGAGGACAGCTTGGTCTCCTTGCCTCACCCCCCACCAGTTTGAGGAAGAGTAGATAGAGGTAGCTCAACTGCAAGTTCATTGGCTTGAGGGGGGAGGGGTAAGGAGAAACACTAGTGTGTGGTTCTGGGGGAATAGTTCAGATGAACTATTGAGGAATCCCAAATGTTAGGAATATCTGTGATTTTTACCAAAACTTGCTGTGCCTTGTCCACTGGTTAAAACAAAACAAAACCAACCAAACAAAAAAACAACAACCAATTGACTTACGCCTTGTCTATATGAGAAAGTTATACTTGTTTAACTTAAATCTATTTTTAAACCAATTCAGTTAAACCAGTATAAACCACTGTGTAAAAGTTTATTTTGGTTTAAGAGTTGGCCTACTTAGGCTGTGTCTACACTATCAATTATGTTGGTGTAACTTATGTCACTCAGAGGTGTGAATAAGCCATCCCTCTGAGCGACACAAGTTACACTGACCTAAGCACTGGTGAGGACAGCGCTATGTTGGTGGAGCTTCTCCCACTGACCTAGCTACTGCTGCTCGTTGGGGGTGGATTAATTAAGCCGATGGAGAGCTCTCTCCAATTGGCTTAGTGCGGCTACTCTAGAGAGCTCACAACGGTGCAGCTGCATCTGTACAGCTGAACCGCTGTAAGCTCTCTAGTGTAGCCATAGCCTTAGGTTTAGCTTAAACCGACTCTTAACTGACTTCAGCTAAACTGAAATAACTCAGGTTTCAACCAAAATAAGAGTGTCCACGCAGCCTTTTGCACCAGTTTAACAAAATCAGACCTTTAGTCAAAGTGTTGCAACTTTCTTGTGCAGACAAGGCCTTATTGTGTTGAACTCATTTACCTATAGGGGAGGAAAAAGGAAGGTACAACAGCAAAATTTTTGTTGTACCCTTGTGAAAATTATTATAATATAACACTTCTAAAATACTACTAACTAAGGGTCTCTGTGTCTTACCAAACACTGAAGTTACTGGAAAACATCACTGTGAAGTTTGGAAGGTAAATATTCCCATTTCACAGGTGGGTTACTTGTCCAAGGTGACAGATCTGGGGATTAGAATCCAGGAGTCCTGTGCTCTCCCCTATGCTTCTCTAACAAGTCCTGCTTTCTTTGTTTGTTTGTTTGTTTGTTTGTTTAAATGCAGAAAAGCTGGCTGACCGTAAATTGAATGTGGCAGAAGTGACACAGTCTGAAATTGGTCAGAAGCAAAAGCTGCAGACAGTTCTGGAAGCTGTCCATGATTTACTCCGACCCCACGGCTGGACAATCAAATGGAATGTCGACTGTAAGTGCCATGTGCAAAAAAGTCTGCTTTGAAGTGAGACTGTGTCATGTTCATGAATGCAGAGGAAATGATTTTCTGCTGCCCATTTCAGAAATGCAGCATCCATCCTGGTAACCAATAACTTGATCACATATTCTGTGCTGCAGTGTTTTTACAGACTACTAATAGTAATGTATATGTGTAGTCCATATATATAGCATGAGAAGGTTGTTGTTATACCATATACCCTCCTACCTCTATAGCTCTGGTTCGAACTCCTTCAGATGAGGAGGGTTATGTCATAATTGGTCTTCTTGTAGTGTGTCATTTCTTTAAGCATATATTATCATTAAAACATTATTTGCTGAATCTCTATAGATCTGAGAAACTTGTTAGCCTCTCAAGATAGAGACTTAAGAGCTTGGACCCATTCATTCATTCTAGGATGTCCAGTTTAGAGACCAAAACAACGAGGAGTCCTTGTGGTACCTTAGAGACTAACAAATTTATTTGGGCATAAGCTTTTGTGAGCTAAAACCCACTTCATCAGATGCATGGAGTGGAAAATACAGTAGAGAGGTATAAATACACAGCATATGAAAAGATGGGAGCTGCCTTACCAAGTGGAGGGGTCACTTTTGTAGTGCTAATGAGTTCAATGTAATCAAGGTGGCCCATTTCAAACAGTTGACAAGAAGGTGTGAGTATCAGCAGGGGGAAAAATTAGTGTTTGCATCTTTTCATATGCTGTGTATTTATACCTCTCTACTGTATTTTCCACTCCATGCATCTGATGAAGTGGGTTTTAGCCCATGAAAGCTTATGCCCAAATAAATTTGTTAGTCTTTAAGGTGCCACAAGGACTCCTTGTTGTTTTTGCTGATACAGACTAACACGGCTACCGCTCTGAAACCTGTTTAGAGATACTATTTCTGATGGAGTAAGCAGAAAGAACATCCCTTTAAAGTGTGGCCCTTTATCTACAAAAGAATTTGTGATGTGTTTCCACCCAGGGAGTGAACCATGTTAATGTGGCTTATAAACAGGAACACCATAGCCTGTTTAATTTTGCTACAGATGTATTCCGGGTGGGCATTCTCAAGTGTAGGTCTGATTTAATACAGTTGAGCATATCTGAACTTGCTCGAGGAGTTGTGCTAATTCACTTTAATAGCCAATGCAATTCTGTACTTCTGTGGTGACTTTTATGAATATGCACTACTTCGTTGATCGACTCAGCTGTAGTTCTGAGGCTGTGCATACACCTAACTACTGTACACGGTTAGTACATGTAATATGCTCCCTCAGGTCCTTTACTCCTCCCTGAGGAGAGGGATGATCTGGGCACTGGTCTGGTTTCAACACCTGGCTCTACTTTTGACTTGTTTTGTGACTTTGGTCAATCGGTTCCCCTCTGTTACCATATCTGTAAAGTGGGGATAATATTTCACCAGTGGACACAGGTGAATTGAATTCTTATTGTTTGTAAAATTGTTTTGAGATCATTATGTGAAAGGCCTAAAGTGTTGCCTTGCTAACCAATAAAGTTTTTCAACCTTTTTTTCCACCCCCTAAAGGCTGGTTGTTTAAAATCTGTTTTCGACTTGTGTTTTTTACTTCAGCAATCCATGGCAAGAATCTAATTTCCATTCTCCACCTTCTGGTAGCTTTGGCCATGCATTTCCGGGCTCCCATCCGACTTCCTGAGCACGTTTCTGTGCAAGTGGTAGTTGTAAGGGTAAGTATGAACTCCCAAGTATAGTTGTGTCATAATGGCTGCCATCCATCACCCTGATCACTCATCTTATATGCTGCAACCTCCCCCCCACCCCCACCCCCCCCCAGCCCCATCTCTTTCTTAGTTATTTAGCTAAGCCCTCCCCTGTGGTATTCAGGAGGCCAGAGTGGATGGTCACAGTGTTCCCTTCTGGCCTCAGAATCTATGAATCTTACAATCTTTTATGATGTGTTCACAAGGTACCTAGAACAATTCATCCCTAATAATGGTCGGGGCCTCCAGTTGCTATTGTCATACAAAAAAATTAGTAGTGTATAATGGAATTTGCATGTCAGAGAGCTCCATTTGTTGGCTTTTTACTAAAGGTAAATTATTGTTACCTCCTGCTCGTTGAAGAGGGAACCATTCAAACAGAAACAACACCAGGATCTGGGGAGAGGTTTAGAATCTGTTTTTTGGAAGCCCGTTGTGTTTCCCAGGGTCCAGTTCGTCATGTCAGTTGTGACACTCTGGTTCCTTTGGTTCTGCATTTTGACCTTGATCATGGTCATTCACAGCTCCGTTCCTCTGTTTGCTCTGCTCAATTAGAGAGATGGGATTAGACCCTGACTTCTAATCTCCTGCTCTAGACATTGCAACAGTCCTTTCTGTCTTTGCTGCCTGGTCCTGGCTTTTTTGCCCATTTCTCATGGTCCACAAAGAGCATTTTGCTACTGCAGGGCATTCTCACTCTTGTTTTTTGTCTCAGTTTCCATCATAACTCATTCACTCTTCACCTGGGCCACGTGGTTCTCTCTGGCCGATGAAGCTGCAAAAGCCCTAAAATGGGTCCTGTACAACTACTGTCCTACCAATCCAAGACTACTTCTGGCTGGCTGCTTTCTCATGTCCTGCTTTAAATGTTCAGTGTGATGGTCCATGCGGTTGTAACGTATGCACAGCTGACGGCATTGACTGTGGATTTGGCAGGTAGTGTGAGGTCACCCCTGCTGTAGTAGGATTCATTTCAGGAGTACAGTCTTAGATTGGGCGGAGCTAGCATGATTCTGCACACTCCCAGCTGCAGTGTAGACCTACCGTGGAGGGAGAAGGGGGATGTGTGTATGTACGTGTGCGCACTATCTATGTATGTCACTTTACTGAGAAACTTCTTTATATTTACTATCCTGCTGCTACTATCCTGTAATATTTTAAAATACAGTATACTATCCTGTATTTTAAGAGTTTGAGTGAGGTGTAAAATATTTGTAGTTGAACTTGTACGTGATTCAGTCTTAAGGAAATATATACCAGTTCAATAACGTGTCAGTTTTTAAAGCATGTGTCAGCATTGATAACATTTTAAATAATACATATTAATAATAATAATGTATTGTCTGCATTGTATTGCCGAGAGGCCCCAGTAACAATCAGAGCCCCATTAGACGAGGTGCTGTAGAAACAGGGTAATAGATGGCCCCTCCCCTGATCCTGCAAACACTTTTATATGCATTCAAGGGGATCACTGAACATCATGGAAAGTGATTGGAGTATGTAACCTTCTCCAGAATTTGACCTTCATTTAAGAAAAGATGCGAGAAGTGACAGTCAGTGGGACTTAAACTCTTAAATCGCTTAGGCACTTTCGACATTTTTACCCCTTAGAAAAGTCTTACCTTGAATTAGTTCAGCTGATGCAAACCCCTAATGTAGACTCAGTTAAACTAGTTTAACCCTTGCTTAAAATTGGCTTAGCTTAGTTTCGTAATTTACCAACATAAGCCTTATTTGTTTGAAGCCTTTTCTACATGACAAATGCTTTGCCGGTAAAGCAGTACCAGCAGAGCCCCCTAGTGTAGACACATCTTACAGCAACAGAAGGAATTTTTCTGTTGGCATAGTAACACCACCTCCCCAGATCATATTAGCTATGTCAACAGAAGCCCTCTTCTGTTGATATAGCTGTATCTACACTGGGGGATTAGTTGGCATAGCTATAAGTGGCTAGAGGATGTTTGGGGTTTTTTTTTGTTTTTTGTTTTCACACCCCAACCAATTTAAGTATGCTAACAGAACTTCGTAGTTTAGACCTGGCCTAAGTATGTCCACTTTGGAATTTTGCATGGGTTAACTAAATCAGCTTTAAATTGATTTAGGCTGGGTCTCTTTGACAGATTTTTTTTTTTTTGGTCAGAATAGCAATGTTGGTCAGAGATGTGAAAAAAACCACACCTCCTAGCCAACATAGCTATGCTGGCACAACCCCTGATGTTGACAGAAGAGGGCTTCTGTCAACATAGCTAATGTCCTTTAGGGAGGTGGTGTTACTAAGCTGGCCGAAAAATGCCTTCTGTCAGCATAAGCTGTGTCTTCCTTAGGGGACTCTGCCAATATAGATATACTGGGAAAGCATTTGTGGTGTAGACAAGGTCTCACTTAAACTGGCTCGCCATTTCCAATATAGAAAAGTTCTAACAAACAATAGGAGGGAGAAATGGCAGGAAGGGTGAGGGTAGCAGTGATAAGATGATGAGGTTACATAGACCGGGTTAATTCACAACTTGATGATTTGGTTTCATTTAATTATTACTTTTTTAACCTCTGCCTGTTTCCATAGTGGTGTTAATTTAATAACCTGCCAGTTTCTACTTTTAAAAAAATCCTATATGTATTTCCAGTGTTTGTTTTTTGTTTTGTTTTTAAATTCTGCTGTAAGTTAGCTTCTTTTCTTTTCTTTATTACTACATTTGCTGTTTTTTTCAATGGTGTGTTTTTTTCAGTTTTTTTTTTTTAAAAAATATCTAAATAATTCCAGCCATAGTGTTTGGACTTCTGTGGGTAAATGTACTCATTTGTGCCTGGTGTCTTAGGGATGTGGGATCCCTTATAGAAGTGTTTTGCCTTGTTTAAGGCTAAAAGTGTGAGTGGATTGGATTAGAGTAGAATTCCTGGCATTTACACGGCTGGTTCAGAGGTCTGCAAGGTAAACCTGCAGTAGCTTCCCTAGGGAGAGAACATGGTCAACTGTATAAAGCATGGGACTAGGAGTCAGGTTCGGTTCCTGGCTTTTGCTATGTGACTTTGGGCAGGTCACCTAGGGCCTGATTATTTGTTTTCTGAGATGCTGAGCACTCACAGCTACAACTGAGGTCAGTGTCTCTGAAAATCCTGCCTTACCTTCCTTATTTCTCAATGTCCCCAGGTTTTAGATGGGGATAACATATCCACGTTGATGAAGCACTTTGATCTATGGGTGAAAACTCTACAATAGTGCGAATTATTAACAACAAATAACCTGGAAGCCCCTCAGTGATCTAATAGGTCTTTTTCTTCTCTGGTTTCTATGAGCCTGCTCAATAAAATAAAACAAATTTACCATAGCACCATGCTGCAGGTGAGAGCAAGTAGTCTATGCAGGTCCTGAAAGATGTAATGCCCTTTCTACCGTTTCTTTAAAACATTGATTTGGATTTTAGGGGAGAGGCTAATGCTTTCCCATGCTGTCTGGATTCAGTTATTCAGTTAAAGGTGAGGACATGTAGGAACTGGAAAATCTGTGCAATTTGATCTGGGTTTATACCTCATAGACTTTTGAGTGCATGCTGCACTGTATACGCAGAATGCAACTTTATGTTTAAAACAGGTCTTTCTGCTTTCTCTCTCTTTGCAGGAAGAACTATAATCTCTGTACCACACATAGCAAGAAATGTATTTCACATGCCAGAGAAATTAGTACAGCATAAATGTATGCTTGCTACTTAATAACTGTATTGTGACAGACTCCACAAGATGGCAGTGTGTCTAACTTCAGGGTGGGTTGTTGCAAAATCAGTATGTATTGCCTCTTGAAATTGACCAGTGGTATTTTATTTTATCTCTTTTTTAAATGCTTTGCCTATGAAATATAAACTGTTTTTAGCATGACAATCTGACTTTTGCAGTTACTCATGAAGTCTTGAGCTCAAGTTAACTTGTTGTTTTGTATGACCCTATAAGTGGCTGCCTCGGATACTGAGTTAGCAGGGCTAAGGTTGCATTGCTGAGCAGCTTTAGTAGTTGAGTTGTTCAGCACTCAACCCCCGACCCCCCCCTCAAAAAAAGAGGAAACCCTGGATGTACTTGCCTAAAGCAGAAAACTGAAAATCCTGAGGGTTTGCTCCCAGCTGACTTCCCCCTCCTGAGTTTTAACTTTCATTTGAAAGATAAATTCACATCAGTTAATTTTTTTATAATAGAGCACTATTTTAAATCAGAAGAATATAGAAAGACTTATTCATAAATCATCATAATGACAGTGCTTAAGTCCACTGTGCATAGTTTCTGTGGGATTATATTCAAGGCTTACCTAGAGAGTCCATCTCTCTCCTAGTCCACTTAATGTCACAAATGTGCAGCACATCTGGCCTCAGTGCTACTAAAAGATTTTTGGGGTATCACTGAAATAATCCTCCAACAGCTGGAGTCCCAAGTCAAAGCCCGGAGATGAGGAACGTATGTGGTGTTCATGGAAAAATAAGTCTATTCAGTGACTGCAGTGTAAAGGGTCAGGACCAAACCTTGATCACTTGTGTCTGGGCTGGCCAGGTCCATGGGACTAGGTTCCAAAACTGCTGTAGGACCAGCATGCTCAGCTCCTAAAAATCAGCACTTTTCCCTCCAGTAACTGTTTCCAGCCAACCCAGGAGCAGGATTCACTTCTGTTCTTCTTCCTTTTTCACATTTAAGACCCATTATTCACCAGCTTTACTTTCTGAATTCATTCACTCACAGCTATTGCTTCCTGCCTCTGGGCTGTAAAGTGGTTGGTGGCTGCGGAAGCCCATCTAGGAAGCAGAGCAGAGGAACAATGGGCTGGAAACAAGTCAGCCGTTGCTTAGCACTCAGTGTTGGCACTCACTCAGAATTCCTTATTTGTCCATCCCTGTGGTCATCCCATCTTACATTATCAGACCATCCAGGCAGTAATCCTTTAGCTGCCTGATGGGTGCAGAATCGGATGTATTCATGAAGTGGATTTGATGTGTTCTTTAGACACAGTGGGACAGATGCCCTCACTACAGCACAGGGCTAGGCCCTAGAGTGGAGACATGACAGCAAAATAGCAAGCGATAACAGCTGCTTCCAACATTGCTCCAGGCCAGGTTTGCTGGTTCACTAGAAACAGCAAAACTGTTCTTGTTTTGTGAAGAAGGGGTGGCAGGAAGGAATTCCTGCAATGGTTCTTGGGTTAAACAAAATGCTTCAGAGAGGGGTGCTTCTTTTTGGTGCTTTCCTCAATAACAACCATTTCTTTTTGATGTTTGTGGTTCAACTGTCAAGAATGAATGAGAGGGCATGGGAGGAATAGGAGGGTTTCATGCCGGGGGGTGGTTTGCCTTGTATACCAGAACTAGAGCTAGTCCTGAAGCAGCAATCCGAGTCATAAGTCTATTTGACAAGACTTGCTTGGGAGTCAGCAGCTGGGATCTGAGCTCTTTAAGACAGCATCTAAAGCAGTGAGAGAAAGAAAAGGAAAAAAAATTCTCTTCCTTCAGAGGGGAAATGATATATCCCTGAATTTTGTAGGGTACCTATGTAGTCTGTGGAAGGGCAAGTTATGAATGTAAGTAAGCAAGTAAAAACACTGGCTCTGCATTGAGTTAGAAAACTACCATATAGGAGGACCCAATTACAGCAATGAAGTGTGTCCCCAAGGCTCCAGCATGGCGCAGGGACATGCTTAAAGCTCAGCTTGGTCTTGTGTACAGTATAAAGGCCACGTTTTATCAGAGTCTGGGGAAACCTGTTTTGTAACTGGGTCTCACCATGCACTAGCTTTCTGTAGGGCAGAGCAGATCTTAGTCCTGCAGAAAATCATCCTGAAAAGTCCAGTAAAAGGGAAATAACTTCCATTATAAAATAGTCAGTCTTCCCCTGCTACAATTCCTTGGTGAATTGGTTACTCCTGAAAGAGAGCGACTGACTCAACCACATTTGGATTCCTGTGCTGGGCAAGCTTCCCTCACACACTGGTAGCTTTGCCAGTGCTCCTCAACCCTGACCTCTGGTAACAACCCTTGTTATCCCAGCCCCAGACCGCTCTGGGGCTGCCAATTCATTTAAACCATTCTCTGATGTTTGTGTCAAGAGCAAATATCCACAGGGGGCTTCAGATGGGATTGACAAACTCTCTCTCTAATTTGTGATCTAGGCAGAATTTTGACGCCTGTCTCCTGAGGAGACTTGCTTGTGAATTTATAGGCTGCAGATATATGCGTCCTAAGCATTCATTTGGATGTCAGTCTGATAAATGCCACTGTGCTAAATCGTAACCCCCTGTGTCAATTGCCTTGCCCCATCTTTACAGAAACTTAATTTTAAAAGCTAGATAAAATGTGTGCACTCCTTTGGGACGCTAATGGGAGAGGAATGCTGCAGAACTCTTACGAACTCCTCCACTACAGTTCCAGTTTCTGACTTCTATATCTTGGTTTCCAGAAACGGGAAGGCCTTCTCCAGACGGCTCACATTACAGAGGAACTCACAACCACAACAGAGTAAGCAGGAAATCCTTATCCATCTGACAGAGGGGAGTGTGTGTGTGTGTGTGTGTGTAGTGTGTGTGTGAGAGAGAGAGTGTAGGGGGTACGTATGGTGTATCGTTACTCAAAATGAAAGAGCATAAAAAATTCTGTTTACCAGATTAACCAACTCTGTGAAACCCTTAATGCACAACTTTTTTCATGCAGAAGCCACTTTATCACTGGAAATACATTGCAAAGGAAAAAAATTTCTCCTTAACAAGCCTGTGTGCCAAAAGATTTTAGCTATATCCTAATATATCACTGATGATCTTTGCGCAACAATTTTTTGCTGTCTCCCTTACCCCCTCTGTGTATAATCCATTTCTGTCCATCCTTATCACACCACGCTGTTAAAGGAGCAGTGTAGGGAATTTGGGGAGGATCAGCAAGATGCTTCCTTGGGACACCTCCTCAAAATGAACTAACTGCTTTCATACAAAAATTGAGTGTGGGAAGGATCTGTAAGGTTTCCCCATCCTTGTGCTGCACAGTGGGAGCCCAGCAGCATACTCCTTTTAATCTTTGCAGCTGGTCTACGTCACTTGCTGTTTTTACAGTTCTCCCAAAGCGAAAGGGATAGAAATGCACTTTGGCTAAAAAGTGAAAGCTCAGACTCTCCATCATGGGGCCTAAAGGCAGTGTTAACAAGGGGCTTACATGAGCCCTCTCCAGCTCATCAGTGTCTAGGCTCCCTGTAGGGATGTCTCAACCTTTTATCATTTTGTAGTTAAGTGGAGTACCAGGTGGTTTGCTCCGTGGGGGTCCTTTTGGATGAAACCTTCAGAAATGAGGGCGCAGCTTTTCTGTGCAGACATTAAAGCTCTCGTGGCCCTTTTAAGGGGAATGGAGGTTTGCCATGGTGTCTTTGGCCGAAACTACTTTCCTTCCTCCAGCTTGTGCAGTGTGCTTGGCAGACCACTTTCTCGGAGGTGGCTGCGGTTCAGTGGTGCTGGATGTAGTTTGTAAAGTGTTTTGTTTTAGGGGGAAAGGTGCTACTGTGTGTTTGGTGTGTAATTAAGTGTGTATTTTTATATGGTGTAGATCTAAATAAATGAGGCACCTAAGTGCTCTGATACAAGTTAGAAACACAACCCCCCCCCACAACCTAACCCCATAACAGCCAACAAAACTAAACCCTGGACAGAACTCTCACAAAACTCTTCTGTGCATATAGATAGGCCAGATTCTCAGTTTATGTAAATCTGCATAGCTCCATTGACTTCACCAGCTGAGGACTTGGTTCATGTGTAGTATGTACCCATGTTATTTCCATAACATACAAATATGCATACCATATATAAGCTATATATATAAATATTCTTTTTCTCTAAATAAAACTGTGGTATACCTAACCATCGCAATGCTTATTCTGAACTGTGTAATGTAATCTATTATCTATATGTGTACAGGGATTTGGTATCTAATAATATAAATTGATATATTTATTCATTCACTCTTAGACTTGGAAAAGTAATAATTACGCTTCATCAGTGGAGTTACACCCGGGATACATTTGGCCCATTCTCTTCCTCCAGCATGTTGGCTCTGATTCTGTTGGGTGCTGAGACTTGTACCTCAGTGGGGGTTGAGGATCCTTAGTACTGCACAGGATCAGGCCCATTAAGGCCAGGATCTTTTCCTTAACGGTAATGATTCATGAACTAAATGAATATTTTCTCATGTTCTCACTTGCAGGATGATGATGGGAAGATTTGGTAAGTAACACATGAAGCTTTGAAAGTTGCCCCTTCAAACACATTGACAAAGCGTGTCTGTTTCTTACAAGTGGGTCTTGGGTAGTCCAGGGCAGTGGAGCAGGCAATTGCACAGGGCAGGAGCACATGGCTGGGACAGCTCTGTTACTGGCTGTGGGGAGTACTGCCTGAAGCACCAGGGAGGAGTGGGGACTGGAGCACAAGGAACAGCTACCAAAAGAGCCAGAACTACTACTTGGAGTGTTGTCCCCATCGGTGCTCCACCGTAGGTGCGGCAGCGCCTTTGTGTCAGAGGTCTTCAATAGCAGTGCCCATCAGACCGCACACGTGCACCTCTCCTCCCCGCGGCTGTGCGGTCTGACCGCCCTCGGACCCTTCTCTACTGCCTGTGGTCTAGTATGGAACAGTTCGCAGAGCCCACTTGGTTATTTAGATAGTCTCTTACCTGTTTTTCCCTCTCGTAGTTAGCTAGCTTCTTCATTTTCTTTTCTTCTCCTTTATCCTTTTAAAAAAAAAAAGTAATTATTTTTTTGTTTTCCCTAATTCCCGTCAGGGATGCTACTCCCTCGCCCTTATGCCTGGCTCTTCTGGGTTTAAGCGGGGCAGGTTTCTCTATAACGGACAGCCATGCACAGTATATCCGTTGCCTGGGAGAGGGACGTTTCCCAGAAGTGTTCCCACTCCTCGTGGAAAAGTCCCTGCAACCAGTTTCGGACCCCAGTTCTTACTGCTCACTGGAGAGACACTCATGCTCAGCAAGGTTGTCTGCTGACCCTCACTCCCCTTGTCCGAGGAACACCATTATAAATGCTGGCGGCAAAGCAGGGTTTGGGGTGGAGGCTGACAGCTCGCAGCCCCCCATGTAATAACCTCACAACCCCCTGAGGGGTCCCAACCCCCAGTTTTGAGAACCTCGGTACTAAAGCCGTGGCTCTAGAGAGCTCTCTGGCGCCATCTGCTGACTCTTTCCCATATCACACCTCAGCCCTGTGCTCAACACAGGCACTGACCAGAGATCACCCACAGGAATTCACACAGCTGTCAGGCCTCGCTGTAGCTGACACTGCAGATACTCCACTCCTCAGACAGGAGGTGTCCCAGATCTCACCCACTTCTCAGTCAACACGCTCTTCGTGCTCTCCCACAAGGACAGCATCTCCTTTCCTTAGTGATGTCGAGGAGGATGTGGGTGGTTATCAAGACTCTCTTGCCCCATCAACATCAGGACAATTAACATCAACTTACCAGCCTTACTCTGCCACAATTAGGGCACCCAGCCTTTTCAGGGGCCCCCATGGATGCAACCATATATTCCCTTTCCCTCTAATTGGCCATATTGGGACCCCCATGGCACAATTTGGTAATCCCGCACCGCTGCAAACACGCCGACCTCCATCCATCCATCCCCTCTTCAACAATCTCTCAACTTCCAGAAACACAGCCTCCACAATACCACTACTGGAGGAGGAACTGGAAGGAGAGCAGGATGAGGAGGTACCTCTGGTCCTGCCGTTTTCTTCATCTTCACCTGATGAAGCCATCATGCCACCACCTCCCACTGCAGCTGATGATTTTCGTCACTTTCAGGAGTTGTTTTGTGGAGTGGCTGACTCCCTAAACATCCCACTTGAGGAGTCATGGAACAACAACGTGAACTGATTGACGTTCTCCATACTCGACAACAAAAATTGCCCTACCTATTAAAGGTGCGCTATTTGAACCTACAAACCTTTTGCAGACTCCAGCTTCTATCCCCCCCCTACATGCAAATGGGCAGATAGGAAATATTATGAACCTGCAAAAAATGTGGAGTTATTGCCCCGAATTCCCTCGTGGTGAATGCGGTGCAAGAGAATGGCCATGAATGCCAATCCCGATCTGGTCATCCTGACTGAGACTGGAAACATTTAGATCTCTTGGGCAGAAAATCCTATTCATCTGCCTCCAGTTTCGAACTGGAGTTTCGAACCCTCCAGTTTCGATTTTCCAACTACGAGGCCCTTATGGCCAAATATCGTTATAAAGTTTATTCTAAGCTGGAGGAACTTTGCCAGGATCTGCCAGGGGAAAAAAGGGAACAATTCCTGCACCTCATTTCGGAAGGTCATGACCCCACAGGCCTCCCTGGACTCAGCTGATACAACTGCCCATCCATTGCTACTGCAGTAGTAATGCGACATGCATCATGGTTGTACCTTTCAGGATTCCCTAAGAAGGTGCAAAATACGGTCGAGGATCTCCCGTTTGAGGGGAAAAAACTCTTTTCTGAGCGCACGGACAACTCCTTACACTCATTGAAAGATCCCGAGCCACTTCAACCTACAGGACACGTACTTTCATATTGCAGTACACCCTGCTCACAGACATTTCTTACAATTCATCGTCGGCCACGGTCACTACCAGTACAGGGTACTACCCTTCAGACTATCCACAGCTTTTGACTTTTTTCCAAAGTACTCGCAGTGGTCATGGCCTTCCTCTGCAAACAAGGCATCACCATTTCCCAGTATCTAGATGATGGCCTTCTCAAAGCGCCATCCAAGACCGAAGCACTCCGAGCAGTCCACACTACAATGACCCTCTTTACAAAACTGGGCCTCCTTATCAATTTTGAAAAGTCCACACTAACCCCAGTGCAAACGCTGGAATTCATTGGTGCTCTATTCGATGCCAAGCGGGCAAGAGCGTTTTTACCACCTCACAGGTTCACAGCAATAACACAACTAGTTTCAACCACCCGAGCATGCCCCCAAATCCCAGCACTTATATGCCTCCCACTTGTGGGACATGTGGCTGCTGCTACATTTGTGGTCAAACACACGAGGCTGCAGGTGCGGGGTGTCTTCAGGGCTGGCTCATACAGTATATCTTCCTCACAAGCACAGCATGCAAAAACTCCTGTCCATGCCAACCCAGGTCAAGGACTTACCGCTGTGGTAGATGTGCCCGACAATGTCTGTGCCAGGGTCCCTTTTCTTCAACCTCCGTGATACTTACCGTAATTGCAGCCAGGTGCACTCTAACAGCCAATCTGTGCTGTTTGAGCTGAAGGAGGTAGTTCAATCTGAGAGGTAATGGAGCTCAGGCAGCATCGACCTGTCTGTCGGCACACCGAAGTTGGAACCGGTTCCACGTCTAGTAGAATCACACCTGCTATTTATCACGATATGTTTTACTGAATCTGAACAGGTTATTTCTGTATCGTACTGTGATACTTACCACTGATGCCTCCCTTCTCGGCTGGGGAGTGAATCTATGCAAGCACACTATACAGGGCTGATGGATGCCCACTGAGTTCACCTTACCAATCAACATCCTGGAACTGAGGACGGTCCACAATGCCTGCCAACATTTCCTACCACTCCTCAGAAACCGGACTGTTCGAGTAATGACGGACAACCTCGCTTGCATGTATTACATCAACAGGCAAGGAGGTGCCAGGTCCCATTCCCTATGCTCAGAAGCAATTAAGCTATGGAATTGGTGTATCCACAACATCTCCATCTCTTCTGCGTATCTCCCTGGACATCAAAATATGACAGTGGATGTGCTGAGCAGAACCTTCTCGCACGAGCATGAATGGCAGCTCGTCATGAGAGCACTCCGACCCATCTTCTGTTGATGGGGTCATCTCACCATAGACCTTTTCACCACTCACGAGAACACCCACTGTCCCCAATTTTGTTCCAGAGCAGGCCTGGGACGTGATTTGCTGAGGGATGCATACATTATGAACTGGAATGTGCCACTTCTGTATGCCTTCCCTCCCTTTCCCCTCCTGTTCCGAGTCTTATGCAAGATACAGGAAGATCAAGCTCTGGTTATACTAATAGCACCAACATGGCCATGACAAGTCTGGTACGCGTACCTGCTTCACATGACACTCTCTCGGCCTATAAACCTTCCCCCAGCATTGTGGCTCCTCTCTCAGGACAGGGGATGCATTCACCATCCTAATTCGCGGATGCTCCTCCTGAAAGCTTGGTCCTTTGTGGCTCTGGGATTCAGAAATAACCTGTTGAGATTCAGTAAAACATATCTTGATAAATAGCAGGTGCGATTCTACTGGACGTACCTATTCCCACACGTGGAACCGGTTCCAACTTCGGTGTGCCGACAGACAGGTCGATGCTGCCTGAGCTCCATTACCTCTCAGATTGGACTACCTCCTTCAGCTCAAACAGCACGGATTGGCTGTTAGTTCTCTTAGAGTGCACCCGGCTGCAATTACCACATTCCACTGCTCTGTCGAGGGATATTCAGGATTTGCACATCCCATTGTCAAACATTTTCTTAAGTGTGTTCGAAACCTATACCCTAACATACATCCCCCCACTCTGGGACCCCAGCCTAATGGCAGCCTGCTCGCTCCTTCATCTAAGCACTGTGTGAGACCAAGAAAAAAGGCGTGTTGGGTTCGAGTTGGGTAACCTCTTTGGGGCCTGTGAATCTGGAGCCGCTGGAGAAGGCACAGTCTCTCTTCATACAGAAGGAAAATGACTTTCATTGACTTCAGCGTGAATACAACCTTCATCAAATGCAGTGGATTTACCATTAAAATACCAACAGAAGTAATGCACTCATATTTAATTAGTTTAAATCAATTTAGATGAGATTAATTAGCGAGTGCGCAGACCTGTTGAAGTGTAAATCGCTATGGAAGTGCTAAATGCTTATTCTTTACATTGAATACTGGGGTGGAGGATGGGGGGAAATCAGGTCTGCGTTCAGGCCTTAATTCAGCAAGGCACCTACTTGCATGACTCAGGGCTGGTCTATGCTGGCACTTTACAGCGCTGCAACTTCCTCACCCAGGGGTGTGAAAAAACACCCCCCTGAGCGCTGTAAGTTTCGGGGATGTAAAGCGCCAGTGTAGACCGTGCCCCAGAACTGGGAGCTGCTCCCCTCGTGGACTACACAAGCCATGACTACAGAAGGCATGTTAATGCTCTGCCGCGGCAGCACTTTAATGTTGCTAGTGAAGACGTGCCCCAACTTCAAGCCTGTGAGTAGCTTCATTTAAGTCAATGGTACTCCTAGCGTGCTTAAAGTTAAGCTTGCGAGTAAGTACCTAGCTGAATCAGGGCCTGATTGCTGTATCACTCAGCAACGGGCATACACAATTCCTGAAGAACACAAACATCAAGTAATATTCAATGACCATTTGATATAGAGAAAAATAGGCCATAGGGCAACTTTTCTCTCCGTTTGTAATAGATGTTTTTTGTTTTCATGTGTCTGTTTTCTGTATTGAATGTGAAATGCAGAAGGGAAATCCCCCGATTTAAGACACCATTTTCAACTACTCCCAAGATTCCCAATTCAGTTTGCTCTGGCCTTTAGACACCTATATTGGCTGACTGATTTTTGTTTGAATCTCCATTGTGTGTTTCCTAAGACAAGGAACAAAGAAAATTAACATACATAACTTGCTTCCACATCTGACTGTTACAGCAGAATTGATTTTTCTAACATTGCTTTCGTCTCTTTGTGAATCAGAACGAGATGCCTTTGACACCCTCTTTGACCATGCACCAGATAAACTCAGCGTCGTGAAAAAGGTAAAATATTTTAAAAACGTATTTCCTACTGTAGTCAGTAGTGGATTTTTAAGCAGGAAGGGGTCCCAGAAGTCTGGAAACCTGTAGAAAATATTTGTGGTATCAGTGGAAAAAATATGCCCATCAGAATCATACAAATTTCACTCCAAAGTTACAACTGAAGTGCTTATCTTGAAGCTTTGTGGCTTGGCCCAGTATTCACTGGAGTCAGTTAAGACTCCCATAATTTCAAGTGGGTTTTGGATGATTCTTGGTGTTTGTCAGCCCTCTTCCATACAGCACTTTGAGAGAAACTACAGGTATTAATATCCAAAAGAAGCATCCAGTGTCTGATCTGAGCAATTGTCTTGTACAAGGGGTGCCCTTCCACAGCTGGAGAATCTCCCTAGTGTACTGTGGCTGTCAGAGAGATAGATATGAGTTGTGATTCACCAATTATGGCTGCAAGAAGTTGTAATACACACACACACACTCACTCACTCAATCTTGCTCTCTTTGTTTATTTAAACTTCACTTTCATTAATGCGTCCAAAGGGATGCTCACTTACGACAGCTGGAACAGTCCCCTGGGTCTGTTCTTCTGATACAGATCACAGGCCACCCTCTGTTCCACCTTCAACATGCCACTTTTTGGGGGCAGAGGGAAAAGGAAGAATAGCCATTAATCTGGGCCAGCTTTTGTTAATATATCCATCTGGAAGAGAACAGACAAAGATTTTGCATTATTCCATTGGCTTGTGCAAATACCAGTGTTAAACTGTTGAGCATAAAACTGAGTAACTATTTTACATAGAGATTGGAACTGAAATTTGCTTCTTTGCATTATATGATTGTTATTATTTGTATTACTAGTAGGGTTATCAATTAATCACAGTTAACTCACGTGATTGATTTAAAAAAAATGAATCGTGATTAAAAAAATTAATTGCAATTAATTGCACTTAGAATACCAATTGAAATTTATTAAATATTTTTGGATGTTTTTGTACATTTTCAATATTGATTTCCGTTACAACACAGAATACAAAGTGCACAGTGCTGACTTTATATTATTATTTTTGATTGCAAATGTATGCCCTGTAAAAATGATAAACAAAAGAAATAGTATTTTTCAATTCACTTCATACAAGTACTGTAGTGCAATCTCTTTAGTGTGAAGGTGTAACTTACAAATGCAGATTTTTTTTTTTTTGGTTGTGTAACTGCACTCAAAAACAAAACAGTGTAAAACTTTAGTGCCTACAAGTCCACTCAGTCCTACTTCTTATTCTGCCAATTGCTAAGACAAACAAGTTTGTTTACATTGACGGGAGATACTGCTGCCTGCTTCTTATTTACAATGTCACCTGAAAGTGAGAACGGGCGTTCACATGGCACTTTTATAGCTGACGCTGCAAGATGTTTACATGCCAGATGCGCTAAAGTTTCATATGCTCCTTCATGCTTCAGCCACCATTCCAGAGGACATGCTTCCATGCTGATGATGCTCGTTAAAAAAATAATGCGTCAATTAAATTTGTGACTATACTCCTGGGGGAAGGGGAGAAACTGTATGTCTCCTGCTCTGTTTTACCCACATTCTGCATATCTTTCATGTTATAGCAGTCTCAGATAATGACCCAGTATATGTTCGTTTTAAGAATGCTTTCACAGAGATTTGACAAAACACAAAGAAGGTACCGATGTGAGATTTCTAAAAATAGCTACAGCACTCAACCCAAGGTTTAACAATTTGAAGAGCCGTCCAAAATCTGAGAGGGACGAGGTGTGGAGCATGCTTTTAGAAGTCTTAAAAGAGCAACACTCTGATGCAGAAACTACAGAACCCAAACCACCAAAAAGGAAAATCAACCTTCTGCTGGTGGCATCTGACTAAGATGATGAAAATGAACATGTGTCAGTCAGCAGCATGAAGGTACATATGAATCTTTAGCACATCTGGCATGTAAATATCTTGCAATGTCAGCTACAACAGTGCCATGCGAATGCCTGATCTCACTTTCAAGTGACATTCTACACAAGAAACGGGCAGCATTATCTCCTGAAAATTGTAACCAACCTTGTTTGTCTGTGTGATTGGCTGACCAAGAAATAGGACTGAGTGGACTTGTAGGCGCTAAAATTTTACATTGTTTTATTTTTGAATGCAGGTTTTTTGTACATAATTCTACATTTGTAAGTTCAGTTTTCATGATAAAGAGATTGTACTACAGTACTTGTATGAGGTGAGCTGAAAAATACTTTTTTATTTTTTACAGTGCAAATATTTGTAATAAAAATAAATATAAAGTGAGCACTGTACACTTTGTATTCTGTGTTTTAATTGAAATTAATATATTTGAAAATGTAGTAAACATCCAAAAATATTTAAAATAAATGGTATTCTATTGTTGTTTAACAACACTATTAATCACGATTAATTTTTTTTAATCGCTTGACAGCCCTAATTAGTAAAGCACCTAGGAGCCCTAGTCATGGACCAGGACAGAAGAGGTGTTTTCCAGGATACATTTAAACTAACACGTTTAGGCGTGTAGCATGGACAAGTTTTTATTTTTCCATTCTGAAACTGCTGCTAAAGCATTTTTAAAAAGTTGATTGAATTTTAAGTGAATGCTGCCCATTTAATATACACTTTAAAATCTGACTCCACGTCCCTCTAAAAATATTTTAAGCTGATGGCTAGATTGCTGGGATAAATATCTTAGTACAGTAACTCCTCGCTTAACGTTGTAGTTATGTTCCTGAAAAATGGTACTTTAAGCTAAACAATGTAAAGCGAATCCAATTTCCCCATAAGAATTAAAGTAAATAGGCGGGATTAAGTTCTAGGGAATTTTTTTTCACCCTTTAATACTATACACAGCGATGATGATTGTGAAGCTTGGTTGAGGTGGTGAAGTCAGAGGGTGGGATATTTCCCAGGAAATACCTTACTGCTAAATGATGAACTAGCAATTGGCTGAGCCCTCAAGGGTTAACTCGTTGTTAATGTAGCCTCATGCTCTACAAGGCAGCACGAATGGAGGGAGGGGAGACAGCATGGCAGACAGAGACAGAGAGACGCACCCTGTGTGTGAGAGAGAGGTGCGCATTGCTCCTTTAAGTACGCTGACCCCACTCTAAGTACATTGCCTTTTTAAGTAGATCAGCAAGCTGAGACGGCAGCTGCTGCTAGGAATTTCCCTCCGCTGTCATGTGTTCCTCCTGCTCTATGGAAGATGGAGTAAGCAGGGTGCAGGAGCGGGGGGAGGGGGACACCCTGAAATTAGCCCCCATCTTCCTCCGACCCTCCGCACAGCAAGCAGGAGGCTCTGGGGAGCAGCTCCAAGGCAGAGGGCAGGAGCAGCACATGGCAGTGGGGGGAGGGACAGCTGAACTGCCGGCAATTGGTAGCCTGCTGGGTGGCTGCCACATAGGGAATTTAGGGGAGAGGGGAGCTGATAGGGGGGCTGCCGGTCCACCCTGGTTCCAAGCCCCCACCAGCTAGCTGCTACGGGCTGCTTTTCCTGCAAGCAGTGGACAAAGCAGGCGGCTGCCAAATGACGTTATAAGGGAGCATTGTGCAATTTTAAACAAGCATGTTCCCTAACTGATCAGCAATGTAACAACGTTAACTGGGACGACTTTAAGTGAGGAGTTACTGTATATATTCATGCTGCTGTTGTCCCTCTGCTGAATGGTAGCAGATGTCTAGGGCCTTGCAGATCAGCTTCCTGTTCAGATGGAAATCAGACATACAGAGCCTGGGTATATTCTTATTGTAACTTGTTTATTTATACACACACACACCAGTTCTGGAACAGAGGGGTCACAAACGGCACACAGACCATCCCTTCATTCAAGAATCTCAGCCCAGTACCAAGGCCCAATTCCCATAGAACAGTTCTGGTGCAAGAATTGGCTCTGTTTAGAGAATTAGGGCAGGCAGTGCACACTCCTGCTGCTTACCATGGCTCCCCCAAGAACCTGCAACTGAACCAACACCACCATAGCATTTCCTCCAAGACTAAAAATGTGCTTGCATGCTAAGAAAAATAACTTGTAAGAGGTGACTCCTGCCATAATACTGTTGCAATGGAGATAGTAATTTACACTGCTGTATCACTTTAATTCTTACATTTTTTTTATTTTTGTGTGTACTGACAAAGAGGGTATTGTGACAATTGTTTACCAATCTTTTTAGTCTAATGCTGTATTAACCCTACCATATGGACATTGGTTCTTGTTTCTAATCTCATTAATCCTTGTCATCTTCCTTTACAGTCTCTGATCACCTTTGTGAACAAACACCTAAATAAGCTAAACTTGGAAGTGACAGAATTAGAAACACAGGTAGGCGTTTTATACAAGAAAATAAATCTCAAGGTGTAAATTACAAATTTAGGCCCCAGTTGTGCAAACTGTTTTGCATGTGCTTCTCTTTATACACGTGAATAGTTCTGCTAGAGGGATACACATGTGTGTTTGCCTTATTTTGTAGGTGATGGTTATTTGCAGTAATGTTTGCCTCTGGCTGCTTCTCTTGCCCACTTATTGCACACATGACTTATAGCAGATGCAGCTGGTAATTTGTAACCTCGCCTGGCTTCAGATAACAAGAGAAGTTTTAGAATATTTAATATTTGTTTGTGTTATTGACTGTAATATATGGCTGGGTTTCAGACCAATGTTTCGAACACATCAAAGAAAACATGTGCAAAGCACTCGCTGTATTACTTAAATTATGGATGAGAGCAGGTGACGGGCATGTCTTTTCCAACTGTGTGAATTCAGGATGTTGATCTGAACCAGGATATCCTCAGTTGATTCAGTAATTGTTGTGGCATAGGTCTGTCTGTGTTTAACTCAGTTTGGATATTGGGTATCCTTCAAAACACTATAACCCAATCAAACGTGAGTTCTGGAGACACTGGGGCATGTTGCTTTCACTCAGCTGCGAGCATATCAGAAGCTTGCATAGCTCTAACTGCTGTAATAGAAACAATTAAACTGTGTAATGGAAGAGAGTTCATAAAAGATAAAGACTGCTTTAAAATGGGACTACATGGTTAACTTATTCTTTGCTGTTTGCCCAGGAGAGTAAGTGTGGGCACTGGATAGCCTAGGGAATTGGTTATGGACTACTGAGCATTTCATCTGGGTAATTGGTCTGAATCTGGCCTAGGCTGATACAGATTAAATTGATCATCCACTGATGGAAATTCTGGGGCCTTAGTGAATGGGAGGTTTCAGTCCAGTTCTGGGGCCTGGCTATCTTTATCACAAAAATTGACTTGAGCTCTCTGCTGAGATACCTGTGATTAATTGGGCTATGGAGACTTGATCCACCCTCTTGCCCCAAGAGTCTTGTATGATTGCTGTCAATGCGGTATCTGATTTATGCGTACAGATCTTTGATCTCCAAGGGCTGTCAATCCAGCGTCATTCACCAGTGCTGAAATGTACAAAGAATGTAAAAAATACAAGAAAATGGGCCAGGGGAGGTTAGAATAAATGGAAATATTGGTTAGATGAGACACCTTCTATTTTAGGAATCAATCAGAATCTTGGAACTCCACCATTGCACTTACGGTGGAAGCAGTTGCTAGACTGCAGTGCAAAGTGGTCAGAATTAACAAGGATTTTTATGCTCTGGAAAGTAGGTTGAGAGGCTGTCATGTCTGACAAGTTACTAGATAACACAGAATTTTGATCACTGAACTATTGCTTACCTTGGTCAGATAGTGCAGTAGTACATAAACGTGCTGGCTGGGTTTTCTGTACTACTGTCCCTAACTAGATGGAATGAGACCTGGTCAAGTGTTTTGAGAATTTCTTCCTCTAGTGGCTGGCCTACAAAGCGGATGTAGATAAAGATTTTTCAAAAGAAACAAATAGCAACAAAGACCCTAACTCCTATTCATTTCCAATTGGAGTTAGGCACCTCTCTGCCATTTGTGCCTTTGAAAATCTCCCCCTTAAGTCTACTGACAGCTAACAGGAGTTTCTGCTTCTGCTAAAGTGGTAGTGGCTTATCCCATGCCACATTTATGTGGCTCTGGTTTTGGAAGTGTAGGTCTCTGTGGATTGTTGCACTGCTTTATTATTACTGTAGCGCATAAGAGCCCTAGTCATGGACCAGGACCCCATGGTTCTGGATGTTGTACAACACAGAACAAAGACCACTCTTGCCCCAGAGAACTCTTCGCATGTTCCACCTTATCTCTGATTAAAAAGTTCAGGGGATGTCAGACAGGTCATATTGGAACCAATATAGAGAATTCTGTTTGAAAGATACAGTACCTACCAACATTTAAAAGGAATTGTATGGGTTTACAGCAGTGATACTCTACTGGTGGGTCTCTTCATAAGCTTGGTGTGGCTCTCCTCTTGGGTTGGAGCACCTCATCCCAAGTCACATGAACATACATATGGTGTAAAACAAGGAAAAGGCATGCAAAAGAGTTTTGTGTGGTCTTCTGGGTTGTCTTTTAAAGATATAGTTTCCCATTATCAATGTAGCACATAGTTATTCATAGTGAGGATGGTGAAAACAGTGCACTCAGATGTGGGGAGACATCCCTGTGCCCCTCTGCAGCAACCTGTCTAGCCACTTAGGGCTAGGTCAATGGACTCCAAAGAAAAACCCGTTCGGCATTCCTCAGCTGAAAGGATATTGACCATGATACAGGGCCTTGATGGTTGAGTCTGGGGAGAAGAGGAACTGGCCAAGGGTCCTACTGTTTCTGACACAAGTGCAGTAAACTCCTTCCCAGCCCTGAATGGGGCAGAAGGTAGATTATTAAATGTCTGTAAACCAGCTAATGAAGTGCTGCAAGTAGAGGTAAATGGTTTGGGACGTTTATCTTGATTTTTCTCATTGGTTGCAAAGCCTCGCATGAAACCAAATGCCTCTTGCCTGTCATCTGGGAATTTCACCAGTATCTCTCCTCAGTTTGCAGATGGTGTCTATTTGGTATTGCTCATGGGTCTGCTCGAAGACTATTTTGTTCCACTCCACCATTTTTATTTAACACCTGAAAGTTTTGATCAGAAGGTGAGTAGAAATTCCAATCTGGACTCCGCTCACTACCATATCCCACATGCTATTTTCCATCCATTGGCTGAATTCTCTTCATGCCCAGTTAAGCCAGAGTATAGCATGTCCTTTCTTTCAAAGGCTGTAGCGAAGGTGCATTCGTTATAACACTTGGCAGTTCCTAGAATCCTTACTTTAAAGGTTGCCTGTGAAACAAAGGTGTAAATCCCAGTGACTTTACCAATACTTCCTGAATGACTATACCTATAAACATATTTAAGAGAAGAAAAGCTAGGTCCTGCGATGTCCAGCACAGTTGTGGTCAGATGATGTTTATAAACCCAAAGGATATAAAATAATAAATAGTTTGCACTTACATAGAACTTTTACGTGTTCAAATTGAATAACTTATTTAATTATTATTACAGCAATGCTTAGAGGCCACTCTGAGACCAGGGCCCCATTTTGCTAGGCATCGTATATAGTCACAATAAGAGACAATCCCTGCCCTGAGCTACTTACAATCCAAGAAAGGCATAAGAAGGGCAAAAGGTGAGAGACGGGAAGTCTTGTCCCCATTTTACAGGTGGGAAACTGAGGCACAAAGAGACTAAGTGACTTGCCCAGACTAGCATAGGCAGTCAGCACCACAGTGCTAGGAATTGAACCCAGATGTCCTGAGTCTCAGTCCAGTGCCTTCACCACAAAGCCATCCTTTATCTTTCCTAATTTTTGTCACTTCCCTGTAAAATGTGGAAATAAATAATATTACCTCTAATGTGTATGAGGAACTGACGCAGAGCAGTAGTGACTTGGCCAAGGCCACACAGCCGGTCTCTGACTGTATTGGGGTTAGAACTCCTTTGCTGAGCACTGATAGTGGGATTGACTCTGTACCAGATGCACAGTCAAACATAGGCTCTGATCCTGCAATGAGCACCCTATTGGCAGCATGCCACACAAAACCGCACTGAAGTAAATAGGAATCTACACCAGCTCAGGGATCTGCTTGTGCACAAGTCACTGCAGAATTGGGGGCCATTGTTCCTGCCCCAAGGGGTTTGTAATCTAGGTACACAGTTTTCCTCTGGGTCTCCCAGTGTTCTGTCTATCTAGCTAAGCATTTTCATGTATTTCTTTCCATATGGTAAGATGTGAATGATGGCGTCTGAGCTGAAGTGGGTTATTGTGGATGGGCATCACAGACGAAGTGAGCTGTGAGGAGAGGGTAAGGATTTGCCACGCTGTTGCAGCGAGGGGCGGCCTAGATCAGTGGTGCCTAGAGTGATAAGCAAGTTGTGAATGTTGCATGCCATTGGGAGGGGCGATAGGTTGTCTGTGTTGGGCCTTCCCAACAGCCATGGAGAGGAGGGGCAGCGCTGGCTGCTGACTGCCTACTCGGGTTGGGCCCCATGGGCCCTCCTTCACAATGGGTGTGCCACAGGGCTGAAATTGAGTGAGTGGCATTGCAACCTGGTGCACAGGGGTCACTGTGCCACTGAGGTTTGGCCCTGCCATCCCCCCGTCATGGTGGAGAAGTGGCAGGACCAAATCTGAGTGGGCAGAGGGGCAGCCAGCTCTGCTCCTCCTCACTGCTGCTGGGGGGCTGGCTCCTACACCAGGGCTTGCCCGACCTCCTCCCACTTCCAGCAGCTCGTTTCCTCTCTGCTCTGCCCACAGGACTTGCTGAGTGACAGCCTCAAGACCTGCTACAAGAAGGAGGAACTGCAGGGCATGGGAGAGGGGCAGCAGGGAGCCCTGGAATGTACCATGTGAAAAATTTCAGGGATGGCCCTTGGTTTAGATATCCTGGTTCACTGTTAGCCTCCGTGCTATGTAATCCTTCTCCATGCTATGCAGTGGTGCAAGTACGGTGGTATGGTCTGGTACGCCATACCAGTAAGATATTTATAGCTGGTATGGTGTACTGGAAAGACACAGGAGGAGCCTGCCCCACCCCAGCCCTTCCACGTAGCTGCATCTCCTGAGTCCTCCTGCCTGGGCTCTGTAGAGCAGCCCCGCCGGAGGACAGGGCTGGGCAGGGGTGGGGTGGGGTTGGGTTGGGGCCCGACGGCCCCACATTCTGCTCCTTGCCCCACTGCGGTTCCCAGGAGAGTCCTGAGCAGCCCTGCCAAAGGACGGTGGATACAGCAGCTGCTTCTGCCTCACATTCTTCTGTTCCTTTCGCCGCTGCAGTTCCAGAGAGCCTTGATCTCCCAGAAACCTCAGTGGTGAAAGGAACAGAACATGGGGCCACCAGGTGTACTGCCCCCAGCCCTTCCAAGCAGCTGTGTCTCCTGAGTCCTCCTGCCTGATGTCTGTACAGCAGCATGCCCCAACTCCTCCCCCACCCATGTAATGTGGGATGGATGTGGATCATGGGGAGGGGACGGGGAGAGCGCAGGGGCCCCAGGCTGGGGACAGAGTGGGGACGAGTCACGTGGGTGGGGTCACATGGGGCAGTCACGTGCCTCCCCTTTGTGTCCTTTCCATGAGTGCAGCGTACCAGCAAGAAATGATTTCTACTTGCACCACTGATGCTATGTAATCTCTCAGTGAGTTCAGTGCCAAGCACAGTGGGGCTCTGACCCTGGTTGCAGGCCTTAGATGCTTCTGGAATACAAACAATGTATCTGCCCCCTGCGAGGTTGGCTCCTTGTTCTGGTGGGGTTCTGTGGAGCTCTGGTCTGAGCGCATAGTGCATTCCAGGGTTATGAATAGGAGTGAAGCTGGCTGCATTGGGGGTTGACATGTTAGTAACATTGCAGGAACTTAGTAGTCTTTAAGGGCATGATCCTGCAAAATGCTGAGCACCTTCAATTCCTGCTGACTTTAGTGGAGGTGGTTGAGGCCCAGCGTCTACCAGGAGGAGCCCAACACCTTAAAGGACTTGGTCTTCACTGCCCAACTCACCTTTGATGGATATAGCTCATCCTCATCAGAAGGGATCGTACCATACTGTAGGGCAAAAAATATATTGTACCAAATTAGGAAAGTATTGTAACTGACTGAAGAATTTGCCTGAAACTCCTTGTCCTGTTAACCGGTGTCGATTCCGCTGAGAAACAGCAACCTGGGGTTTGCTGACTCCCTTAGGCAGGTGATGATGAGTTGCCAGATGTGGATGTATGGGAGGTAGGAGTGGCTTCCTGGAGAGGAGAGACGAGAATCCAGGATGTGGTCTGAGAAATCCTATGAGAGAAACACCTAGGAGTAACCGAGCCTGAGGATAAGATCTGAGTGTATCTTTTGTTATCTTAGAGTTTTCTTTTCCTAATAAAGAAATGCCAAGGGAGTGGGTGATGATGATGGACTTCATATTCTGTGTGGACTATGTTTATAGAGCAGGTTGGGAAAGATGAATATTTTATTATTTCATTAAAAAAACCCTTCATGGGTACTGCTTAGCTTTTTTTTTTTTTTTTCTTCCAGTTTTTCTTTCTTTCTCTCTCTCTCTCTTATGGGTTGAATTTTCTTGCGTATAAAATCGTACAATGCCTATCTATATGCCATAGCTACTCAGCTGTGATTGTGGTGTTGCTTGTTTATGTCTAGCTGCATGAGACTCATGCTGAACCAAAGTTATTAGATATTGTTTTGAACCAGACATGGAAAAAGAAAGTGTGTCTGTGAGCGTGGGGAGGGATTAGTTTGCTTTTATTTGTGAACTGTGCATCTCTTTCTATCTCTGAAATTGGTTTTGCCTAAATAAATCAAGGAAAAACAGGAGTAGGAGGAAAGATTACAATTCTGATCAATTAATCCAACAAAGGGAGCTTTTTCTCATCCTAATGCAAAGGGGTTTTGTATGCATAACTCCCTCACTCACTGATTTGAGTAGTTTTAATTACATCTCCCCCCTCATGGCACATATCTCCAGAGTCAATCACTTAAAGGGACAAAAATACAAAGATCTCTTTGCACAAATTACCTTTCCACATGCAGAGAGGAAGAATTTCTTAAACGTCAGTAGGCATCCAGAAGAAAAGCTGATTGCTCACGTTAAATCTTTTCAGACTAACATTCTCTCCCCAACAGGTTTCTCTTCTAAGGGCTTGTCTACACTGGCAATTTACAGCACAGCGGCTTTCTGGGTCGGGTGTAGAAAAACACGCCCCTGAGCGCAGGAAGTTTCAGTTCTGTAATGCGTCAGTGTAGACAGTGCACTAGCGCTGGGAGCCGCGCCTCTCGTGGAGGTGTTTGGGTTTTTTTAGAGTGCAGGGAGAGCTCTCTCCCAGCGCTGTGCCCACACAAGCCAAGCAACGCTTTAGCTTTGCCAGTGTAGACTAACCCTAATTGATCCTCTTCATATTTTTCTTTCCTGTGTGTCTCCCTGTTCTGTTCTCTGACTTCGCCTTAATTCTAAGAATAGTTTTTGTGGGTTCTCTGTTAATGTGACTGTCTTCTTTTTCATAGAACCCAGAAGCCCTCTTTTCCTCTGTCAAGATACTGCTCTTAATTATTACTGAGGGACAGCCGGTTACTGTTGCTGATTGGTACTTAGTTTGTAATGATCTAGTGAAAATAATTTGAAAATGTTAAGCCTGACCTTACTTCTAATCTCTCTTCCTAATTGTCACCTGCTTTCTGTTGAAAATTACTGCTTGGATGGCAGATGATCTGTTCCGTAGAGTCTGAAACACTATAATTTATCATGAGTATACAGACAGGAAAAGCTCACCAGAAATGCAGATGTTTCTGCCCTCATATAAAGGCTGTGACATCTTGACTTCTCCAGGTCCCTCCCTGCCCTACATTTGTATGATTTATTGATCTCAGTAGCACACCCAGTCTCCAACACAGAGACTTGATTGTTCTGCCAAGCTTTTGTGGGGTTTCCTAATTCAGACTGTACTCCATCTTAAATTTTTGACTCTTTACATCTGGAAACTTTCTTCTTAAATGAGTCCCTCGGTTGATTTGATTTCTGTTGTCTTTACTCCTGGGAGGAAAACAGCTGCGATTCAGATCAACAAATGTTGTTGATTTTAAAACCAACAAAATAAATCCCAGCATCATTATTTTTGATGTCAAGAGAAGGGAGAAGAAAGTAACTGCTTTTTCATCGATTTGTTAGAATTTGGGAATTTATTTAAATTGCTTCTTTGCAGGTCCATAATGTTTCCTTCGCTTTTGAGTTGATGCAAGATGGAGGGCTCAAGAAACCAAAGGCTCGTCCTGAAGGTAATATATACACTATAGAGGCACAAGCTATTTATACAGGCATAGTGGCAATTACATCTCTCGTGTTACTCCATTAAAGTCAACAGGGTTACATCAGGAAATAATGTTGTGGGTGCATGTATTATATATATATATATATACACATATATACACATATATACACACAGAAAAACTTTGTTTATCAGACTCCCTCTTATCCAAAAGACTCCTTATGCATATCTGCATTATCTCCCTTAATGTGCATCGTAACTGGAGTAGACTCAACTGTTAACAGGTTCAAGTCAGGCCCATGATTTTAGTAAGTGATAGTGCTATGTGAAAGCTGTTCAGAAGCCTATGTTAGGTTAGTTGGTGTTCTCAGTCTTTTTCCTAGTGGAAAGTTTACATAAAAAATTAGCACTAATTTGCGAGCAGCCTGATCACAGAGATCAATAACTGAAGGGATAATTTTTCTCCTATGGAAATCAGTGACAAAAACTCCCATCGGCTCCTATGGTGCAGGGCCAAGTACTGAACGAGCATGAAGACTTGAATTATGCTTTTGACTTTTTAAAGGCTGTACCTCCGAGTACCGAAGCTAATTAATGGAGCAGTGTCAAGAATCTTGCACTACCTCTGCACTGTTTGCTCTTTGGCTAACAGGAGGAATTATGTCGTCTTGACTGTCAGTCGAGCAATCTTCATTTTCATTATGACTACCCCAGAAGTGTGCTCGATGCTTTTGCAGCACACACAGAAAGACAAGGAGGCCTGAGGAGTTTTACAGTCTAACTTTAAATGAGACAAGTGAGGATAATAAATAGCAGGGAGGGGATGAGGTGAGGAAGGGAAAAGGTTACGGCATCAGGATCGCCTAGTTACTCGGTTTAGGCATGTGCCCGTCTTCATGTCTCAGACTGTTTTTTTCTTCTTTCCCAAAGTGCACCTAAAGGAGAGATTTGAATGAAGTGAACATCTTATCCTGGAGGACCAGAAGCAGGAATACATTCCATATACTGGGGCTGGGGAAGGTTGTGGGTGCAGCGGGATCAAAATCAGGACTGGCATCGTTGGTGGAGTGGAGGGGATGGAGGGGGAGAAGAGGTGAAGGCAGGTAGCTTAGCCTGACCATTACTGTTTGTTACTGCAGGAAAGCATTCAAAACAGTGTTACTTTACTCTTTGCTCCGGACTCCATGTGGTTTGCCCTCTGATTCAGCGTACAGCAGAGGATATCCTAGTGAGGCCTGGTCTACACTGGAGTGGGGGTGGTCGATCTAAGTTGTGCAACTTCAGCTACGTGAATAACGTAACTGAAGTCAACGTACTTAGATCTACTCACCGTGGTGTCTTCACTGCAGTAAATCGACCGCTGACACTCCCCCGTCAACTCTGCCTGCGCCTCTCGGTCCGGTGGAGTGCCAGAGTGGACAGGAAAGCACACGGCGGTCGATTTATCACGTCTTCACTGGATGCAATAAATCGACCCCTGCTGGATTGATCACTCCGGAGGTAAATGTAGACATGCCCTGAGAACTGGGACAGGTTTCAGTGTCTACATGGTCTTATAATCAGCTGATTATTGTACCCTTTAGAAATTAAATTTATTAATAAAAGTAGGAGGGCAAGGTTAGTTAATATGGCAGTCCTCTTGGTCTGATTGTCGCCCCGCTTTGCAGGAGGTAGTCTTGTGTGTACTGTTCCCCTTTAGCACCGGTTCAAATCTGCTTCTCTGGGTTGAATGAGGGTGCTGATACACCACACAGAGCTGTGATTTCCAACAGAGGAGACACTGTTTTGTACAGCTGCTCCTGTGGAAGGGACAGTAGCATCGGAGGCTGTTTTTGTTGTAGTAGTTTTATTTCATCTTGCTGTGGAATCCAGAAGGACAGGCATTTGCAAACTTTAGTGTCCCTTTGAATAACAATTTGCAGTGGTGCAGTTTCTCACGCTCCACAGAATGTTTTATGTGTGGGATTCGCTGTGTATGCCCTACTGTACTGGTGTCACTTTGTGCCTGAATGGACTGGAAAAAGCACCAGTTGAAGCTATTTATTTACATTGATGGGCAGTTGGTTTGACTCGGGTAGTAAAGGCCTCTTAAATTATTTGTTGTAGGATTTTCTGAGGACAGGGCACTTTAACACCACTTTGCAGTCTAAGTGCTTTCTGCAGTACTCGCAAGAGACAGGTCTAGTATTCAATTTAATATTTTAGTATATCCTGCTCCACTCACTCCCACCCCAATAAAATATCAAAAGTCATCTTGCATGGTGTATACAACATTGCACAAATTACAGGCCAAATTCTGGTCTCTGTTACATCCATTAAATACAATAGACATATCTGAAGACAAAATTTTGCCCTAAGTCATTAAAGTAGAGTGAATTTTAGTGGGCGGCTTTATTATCTTCCCAAGGGATTTTGACAGGTTGTAGAGGTATTATTCATTTAAACTCTATTTTAAGCTATTTTTATGATTTATTGCCACCTTTGGTTGGCATTCTGTCAGTTAGCACTGGCTGGGCTTTGGCCACACAAACTTCCTCTTACAAGGAGCAGAAGATTGAGATCATGGGGTTTTTTTGGGGATGTCTGGTGTCCCTCTTGTCAGTGCTTCTCATCTCATGGCCTATAATTACCCATGCAGTGAGGCTATATCTGATATTACATTACTTTTTAATCTAGCAGACAAAGGTTTAACAAGATCCAATGGCTAGAAGTTCTTTGAAAGGAAAAATTAAACTGGAAATAAGGCATAGATTTTATAAGTGAGAGTAATTAACTAATAGAACAAATTACCAAGAGATGAGGTGGATTCTCCATCACTTGAACTCATTAAATTAAAAGTTGATGTATTTCTAAAAGATATATTCTAGTTCAAGCACAAGTTATTAAACTCAGTGCAGGAATTACATGGTAAAGTTCTCTGGTCTGTTTTATGAAGGAGGTCAGACTAGAAGATTGTAGACCCTTCTGACCTTAAATTCTATGAATCATTACATTACATTAGCAAGTAAAAGACTCGGGTTTATCCCTTTTCAGCAGGAGGAGTGAGCAACATGTCATAATTCCCTCCCCATTGCCTCCTATCAGCTGAGGCAGAAGTTATGGCCGTGACTCAGAAAGAAGACCCACACGGTCTTCAAGGGAGGTCTCTAGGATGTAGGACCTTGAGAATAGGAGGGAAGGGAAGAAGTAAACCAATGGAGCAATGGGAAATGGCACAGATACCCTAAGAATCCCTGAAGGCAGAGGACCACCTGTCACCTTAAAAAAACAATCATCCCTGTTAACTGATGATTGCAAATAAACTGCACCGTCCACTTATCTTGCAGACCAGGTACTATAACAAAGAGCAGAGACAATGAATCTCAGTACTGGGCACCTAGAGATGCAGTCCTTGATCCTTGGCTCTAGCGGAGCTGTGCTTAGTGCAGCCGTAGAAGGGGGCTTTATGTCACCTTCATGCTCCCCCAACGCACAGGGCTGATTTGGTCTCAGCTGCTCTAAGTTCTAGCTGCCTGCAGTGGACTCAAGGGGGATTGGTGGAGCGCAGTGCTTTCTGGCCACCTTTCCCTCCTTTGGAGTACTCTCTGTGTTGGCTGGATGGTGTAGAGTTGGCTATGCAGGCTCTATGCCAGGTAGGGATTGCCCATGCCACAGTAACCTCAGCTAGCCTCATAGGCCAGCTGTAAGGGTGCTCTGCACTACCAGAGCTATACATTTGGTATTGGAACTTCAAGTTGGCTGTCAGCACCGTTAGGTTGAATCTTCCTGTCGGTTTCCCTGGCCCACACCAAAGATTCCCCTTGGCTTGCTGATTGTGGAGGATATGGCTGGTAAGAAGCTTTGCTCCTCAGGGCTAAATTCACATTTAAATCTGTCTCTGAGGCAACTCGATCTGTTGCACAGAAGGTAGTACACATTCCCAGGCCATTTGGGAGTGTTGTGCTGCTGGGGATGCTGTGGTGTTAAACAGCTTCCTACGCCTTCTGGAAAACTTTGATATACAGAAACGATTCTGCTAAAACTAGGACTATTCTTCCTGTGTTATCGTGGTCCTTTTCATACAAGCAAGATCTTTGTTAGGAGTTCCCTTGCTCCTGCTGCTTATGCACACGTACACAGGTTAGGAAGAGAGGATAGCATGGGGGAATAGCATGACGCTGGGAACTGGTAATTGGATATGTAGCTGTTCACTTCTAAGTCACGACTTAAAATCCGGCCAAGCTGATAGAGGCTGCACGTCATTTAGTAATGCTGGTGGCTGTCTGGAGGCTTGTGTAAAATAGTTAATTTCTTTCCAAACAAGTGTGTGCAGCACAAATCTGTCCCCTCAAATGGTGCTAATTGAGAGCCAGTTGCCCATCCCGTCACGGAGGCTGAGAAGCATATGTTCATGGAGCATGAATTTCTCTCCTACCCAACAAGGGATCATTTCAGGCCAGGCATGTTTGCAGGGCATGGTGAGGAAGCCTGTGCTGGGTCCTCTCTGTGGAGCTCTATAGCCAGCACGTTTCAATCCACATGTTAAATGAGAAAGACAAAGAGTCTCTCTTCACTCAACTGTGCAAAATAATAGACAAAGGAAGAGAGGGTGAGAGGAGACTGAAAACGTCGGTTTTTTGGGAATGGGGTTTGTGGAGTTTTTCTTTTTGTTTTTACCTCTCTTCCTTCCTCTTCTTCCATCCGAACTGTTCCTCCTCAATTTTTTTCATCTTCCTGTTTCCCCTGCTTTTCCCTCCTGTCCTCTCCCTTTCCCACATCTTTACCTGCTGCTTTTCCCCTCTCCTGCGCTGCTGACGTTGGCAGATCCTCTCTCCAGTCTTGCAAGGGCACTCTGTGCTGTACTTTCCCCTGGCAGCCTTTGGAATGTACTTCTCTCCGGCACTTCCTCTATGTTATCGTAGCAAAAGGACAGGAAGAGCAAAGAGAGAGACTCTCTCTGTTGTACATCTGAGAAGGGGGAATACCAAGCCCATTAGCAATAAGTTTGAAGTTTGCAAAGGGGAAGAATGGGGAGGGTGGAAGACGGCCTGTCTTTATGGTGGACTGTAACTGTTGATGCACTCTTCCCTTCCTTTCTCAGATGAAAATGTACCCACACTCTGGCACAGTGAGAGGGGATGCAGGAAGGTTTGGCACACAAAGCAGGAGTTTAAGTCCTGCTCACTGCATAGCAAGTCATTGCAGAGGTTCTAGATACGGTGGGTCCAGAACCTCACATGAAATATACAATTTAGACTTAAATCCCCACTCTGGACCCCTGGTTAGTAATTTCCCTGGTAGAAACTCACTAGAAATTGTTAAAGCTGTGACATGGTATCTAACATGGAGTATTTTTCAAAGTTATTTGTGAGATATCAGGTCTGAGACACAAGAACACTGCAGCCTATGATAAATTGTAGATCAGGGAGGGATGGGGGTTCTTCCCCCAGAGAGAAGTTTAAAAATATCAGTGATTAAAGTACTGTTATGGCTAAGGTTTCTTGAAGATTATCGTATGATGCTATTCAAGGGAACTGGATCTGTATTTTTTAAATTTGATTTGATTTTTTATTCTTTTGAGTTCACAGATCAGAAGACACTTTTTTCCATTCATAGGCAACTGGGAGGTAGCACTAAACCAACCTTAAGAATCTCTCCTTTTCTTCCACAGATGTTGTTAACTTGGATCTGAAGTCTACCCTCAGGGTTTTGTACAACCTGTTCACAAAATACAAGAATGTTGAGTGATCCTGGAAGCTGCTGAGATGTTAATCCTCACGACCTTCTTAAGGAAAGAAAAAGAAAAGAAAAAAAAAAAGGGAAAAATGAAACACCTTCTATGTTCCCATTGTGCCTTACACTATATTCCATGCTGCATGATGGCATTCCTTCTTCTGTTCACATTATCTCCATGTACCTCTTTGCATGACGTGCCCACTGAAAATACTTTGTGTATTTTATGTTAGCTCCCTTTTGAAATATCATTTTTACATCTTTGCTCTGAGATCCTGGTGGGTCTGTTTGCTAGGGTCAACAAGCTTTCTTGTTCTGTTGATAAAGAAATCTACTACTAGCTACTTTGATAAACAGGAAAAACTTGAACCCTTCTTGATGGGGCAATGCCTTTATATACTTTCTTTTGTAAACTGCTTGGTTACCATTGGTGGTGGAAGATATGCTAGGCTTGAGTGTTAGAAATACAACATTGCATTGTAATATATTTAGAAACTGCACAGTTTCCATTAAATAAAGTTTGTGTGTGTTACTGTATTTGTTTCCAAGGACACCACCTGAAACTGTACATAAGAACCCATGAGGGCTTTTTCTACCTTTCATGTTAACCTCATACTACCCAGTATTATTTCCACCTGATGTTTACACACAGACTAGAAATGGAATTATTGCCCCATCTGGTCATAGCTGCTTTTCTCTCCCTCCTTTTGTGCTGAGGAGGGAGCTGTAGCACTTGAAATGTGCAGTCTGGATCAGCTCGGTCAGGAGCTGGTCAAGGATGGATGGGCTGGATTTATGCATTCTTTTTAACCCTTCGTGGAATGAACAGGGGGAATCACAGTTTGATTGCTTAGAGGTGCAAGGTTGACCTTTACTTTCATGTGGAAAAGCTAACACACCTGCTCCTGCTCTCATTGAAGTCAGTGGCAGTTACAGCACGACAGAGCCCAAAGTGTGTAAACAGAACTACAGTTTTTTGTCTTGAAAATTAAATGAAGCAAGGTCATTTTTCAGTAAGATTTTGCCTCTGTTTCCTGGGTTATTCGGGACAATGCCATGTAATGTACACCAGTATCAAACACACTGGACTGCACCGAATTTGGAACAGTTTAGAGGTGCAAGCCCAGGGCTGAAAATAACATAAGTTTCCTTTCAGTGATGCTGTGATGAGTTGACTTCATCCCATCATTCCCAATGATACTTTGCTACTGCTGTGAACTCTGGACCCAGTGCTGTAATTCTTAGGCAAAACTCCCATTGAGGTCAGTGAGAGAAAAGACTCTACCCTTCGAATGTATCTACCTTGTCACAAGACACTGTTACAGCACTTGATGGACTTCACCGGATTGTGCAGACATATCTGTGTGTCTAAGGATGCAATAGGTGTAGTTAAATGTACAAAGAAGGCAAGGCTAGGATGTGGTTTGTGTGAGCAGGTTATGGGCAGGGCTATTGAAAGAAATAGTATTATAATGCTAAAGCAAGTTATTTGTGGGCTCTGTATTTTATAGCATTCCTTCCCTTAGAATGTGGAGGAGATTCAAAACCACTATCTTATTGCTTTCTGTTTATCACATTAGTCACATTTTATGGGCTGCCAGGTTTTATGTAAAGCATTTAACAGAGCAGCCTATCAAGGAAGACAGTGTTACTGCGTTATCTGGGCCAAGTTCAGTCTTGTTGTAAGCAGAGGTCCATCTCTCATTGACTACAAATGAAATGCATCTGCTTACACCAGGACTGAATTTACCCTTCAGCATTAAGGACCAGGAGGAAACGCATGTCCCCTTACTGTGCTATGTGAACTGTGGTGTAATTGTACAGAAGAGTCTTCTCTTCATTAACATTTTTGTCTCAGCTTGACACTTTAACAGTGACTTGCAAAAGGAGAAAACACTTATTTTTTGTTTCTTTATGAGGTATAAAAGTGGCCTAAGGGGGCTAGTGTCCAAAAAAAAAATTAAAAAAAAAAGCGGGAGGAGGTTTCTACTTGTTTCCATTTGAAACTCAGCTCGCATCTACTGTGGGAGATGCTATGGTGACTGAAGAACTAGTGAGTTAGATTGTAAGAGCTAGATTCACAAAGGAATTTAGGTGCGTAACTGGGCACCTAAGTCCAAAATGTAGATCCTCAACTCCCCTGTTCAGCTGCTGCCTAGTCCTCTAGGTCCCTAAACTCCTGCTTAAACTCAAATATTGGATATGAAGTGGAAGAGCTTCAACAGGAGAGAGTGAGAGCCCCACCCCAGAAAATTCCATAACCCAGCAATTAGGGCTAGTTGGGAGACCTGAGTTCGAGTCCCCACTCCAAGTCAGGTGATTTGAACTGAAGTTGGTTTTTTACATCTCATGTGAGTGCTCTAACCACTGGACTATTAGATAGTCCTTATATGAGTACTCCTGTGAGCAGGGGACTGCAGATTTGGGACCTTTAGTTTATATGCATGGGCAAATTGCCAACAGGATGCTTTTAACTTAAGAAGGGCTTCCCCAAAAGCAAACAGTTTTAAAACACAATCATCTTGATATAGCTCCCCACCAACTAATATTGTTTATTTCATTCTTAGTCTATCACATACCTAATATGTGGGTTGTAATTAGGGTGATCAGATGTCCCGATTTTATAGGGAAAGTCCGGATATTTGGGGCTTTTTCTTATATAGGCTCCTATTACCCCCCACCCTCTGTCCTGATTTTTCACACTTGCTATCTGGTCACTCTAGTTCTAATGGGCTAATATGTTTTGGGTTTAAAGCTTAAAAATATAGGTGTCCCCCCATCAGTGCTAAAGAACAGGATGGCTAATATTTTGTTCGTATTACTGGAAATTTTGAATTCTGCCTCTTAGTGTAGAGTTAGTTGGGTAGAAAAGGCCAGGGAATTCTGAGGCTTGTTGCATAGTTCTTGACCACTGCATGCCCAACATTCAAGCTTCCACATTTATATATGGTTAATGAGATTGGCTGCCTATACAGCCTATGTAATGTGCCTTGTAGATTCACCATCAGAACTGTGGATTCCGTTCCAGCCAGTTGTCGTACAACTTGTTCTATGGCTCAGGAGAGGCCTGAGCAATGGTCAGCTATGTCTTAATGTTTCACAAGACTGCAAAGCAACAAAAAAGAATTTACAGCAATGTAAAAACTTAGAGCTTTCTTTTTTCGCCCTAATAGAAACCTAATGCTTTGTGTATTAATGTATTTTAAGAATCTTTTCTACTATTTTTTAACAATGTTCACTCTGGATTTCTGTTCCTAAAAAAAACCCCAACCCACACAAAAAACCAACCTTGCAGATGAGATACTGCACTTGTCATACCGTGGACAAGTCTGGCTTTGTGAGAGTGTAACAGTAGTGTACTGTAAGCAAATTACAATGCAATCCTATGTTTTCTAAAATCACAGCAGGAGTGTTGTGGAACTTAATGCATGGTTTGTGACAACTGTATTTATTCTAATAAACAAATAATGATTACATAGCTTTCTTGCTCTTATTTGGCCTGCTTAATGGATGAAGTTCTAATAAAAGGAAGGACTTGAATGAAGAATGCATTTAATGAAGACCAAGACGCCAATGAGATATTGGTCTGCATAGGCCTTAGAAAACAGAGCAGGGACGTGACAGTCTGTCTCTCTGGCACTGGTAGAGCAGCATATGAAGGGGTTCACTCACTGCAGGTGTGCCTCTCTCTGCCTGGATCTGGGAATTAACTTTTGCCCCATATGGTGGCCCCTGCAATCAGTTGCTTTCTCTCCATCCTACCTCCATGACTTGGAGTGCTTCCTCTTGATGATTCAGCCCTTCGGCCAGTCACTATATAGTCTTCTCCCACCTTTCCAGGGCAATGACGTCCCACCAGACAAGCTGTCCATATGTCCTCCCAGGCAGTCTTCTATTCCAACTCCAGCTCTGTGCCACTTAGCCAGTGGCTGGTAGGGGAACCCAGGCCTGCCTGTTACTCTGGGTTCCAGCCCAGGGACCCTTTGACTGCTGTTGCAGTCCTTGGACTCCTTCGTACCCACCTCTCCATCTCCTTGTCTTTGTCTGGGTTTACCCCCAGAGCGTCCTCCATTCCCCAGGGCCACTTCGCCTCCTAGGCCTCTTGTAAGATTCCCTAGTCCAGGGCAGGACACCAGGGCTTACTTGCCCCCTGGAGCTCCTCCTTGTCCCTGGCCAACACCTTTTTACTCTAGACAGCAACTGCAGATACACTGCCTGCAACCCTTTCCTGTGCTTACTCCCTGCTTTATAATGCTGTCCCAATCCCCGCCTCCCAGCTCTGCTTCATTTGCCATTTGGCCCTATCCAGCCCTGGGTCCCCTCCAGGTGCAGTATCTAAGGTTAATTGACCCCTTCTGATCCATATTAACCAGTTCAGGGCTCGTGTGGGGTGGATGCGCCATCACACGCCACTTAGACTATCGTACTTAGATCGGGGCATCTTATCAGTAGAAAGCAATTGGGGGGAATTGGAGAACAGCAACAAAAATGACTGTGAATGCATCAGTTAGTGACAGGAAGGCTTTAGACAACAAATCCCAGTCAGTGTGGTTGAATGATGAATGAGTATATGTGGGAGGGGATGGCAATCAGCTACCATTATCTGATGGGGATGTATGGTGAGGAAGGAGAGGAATTGAGTAGTGCTTGGGGGCTATAACTTGGAGTAAGAATGTGAAATTTTTAAAAAAGGAAAATTTAGCTTAAATATGGTGGTTTATGATATCAGAGTGAGCCCCATTAGACTGTGAAATAATCTCCCAAGGGAAGTGGGGGAAGGAAGCCTTACTGCTTATGATGCTTAAAACTAAATTGGACTAACCACTTGAATTTACTTCAGGGAATCATCATGCATTAGTAACTGGATGGATATGACCTAGTAGGCTTTCCCCATTCGTATGCCCATTACAATATTTTAAAATGTTAATTAGACTAGGAAAATCTAAATATTATATCCTGAAGAGCGGTTTTGCCTCTTTGTCTTCAGAAAGAAAAGTATTTAATCACCTGAATGGTAGGTGCTACTGTATATTTCCTGAGAGAGATGCAGTGTTCTGGGCAGTATGACCACAATTTTCCCTGTCAGTAAAATACCAGGGGGTTGTTGCTGCAGGAAGGGGGTGTCTGTGGCAGGGGAGTGAGGTGGGGAGCAGTGGGTGGGGGTGGGGTAAGAGGAGGTGAACGGCAGGTGGGGGACTGAGGAGGGATGCAGGAAGCAAGCGGTGGGCGGGGGGGTGAGGAGGCGAGCGGCGGGCCCATGGCCAGTGGGTGGATTCCCCCTTTTGGGGATGCTAGCCCCTGACTCCATCCATTCCGCCCGCACACACCCCCTATGGCTGGAGCCAAAAGCCCCCAGCCCGGAGAAGCCCCGAGCGCCTCCCCGTCTCAGCCAGAGGAGCCTCGGGCTGGCCGAAGCCCTGAGATGCCTCCAACACACACACCTGCCCGGAGGAGCCCCGGGCCAGCCACAGCCCTGCCCCCTCCTCCCCAGACCCAAGCCACCCAGATATGTTTTTCATTATTATTTGGACTATTATGTCAAAGCATTTTTAAATTTACTTCAGAATTGTACAGACAACCACTTTTACCAAAAAAGTAAAAGAAACAATAAAAAAGACAAGAAGGTGCAAAGTACCTTATTTGCATTTCTATTCTGTTAGGTCCAGTAAAGAATAGAGATAATTGTGCATTTACTTTTATTATTGAGTTTGCAAAAAAAAAAACAAACCCAAAACCTTCCATAAATAAATTACAATGATTTGGATGTATATATGTGCATATTACTTTATTAACTTTAGGAAAAAGAAATAGTTTTAGGAAAAAGGTGTCAGTGTGGCCACCAGCAAGAGTTGCTGGCCTCACTCTGAGGCCACCAAAAATTTGTTGCGAGAACCCCTGGTTTAGATGCACATTTACTGCAGTTACTATAGATGCTAGCAGAGACCATACTTGCTGATATTAGGGCTCTGAACAGAATTGTGGTTTCATTTTTAAAATGTAGCGTAAGAACTGTGTGTAACTTGCCTCTTGATAATGTTCAAGCTGCTTTGATGCAAGGCAGCAATTTCAACACAAAGCTGCCCAAAACTTTATCCTATGCTAGGTTTCATACTCCTTTCCCATGACCTTTCCTTGAATACACCCCTTGAGGAACACTTAAAGAATTATTAAAGGCAACATGGTGTCAGTTCTTTTATGTAAAATGTTCATATGCAAATTGATTATATTGGCTAAATGTGGCATAACGTCATCTCTTTCCTGTTGCTACCAAGCAAACCTCTTGAAAACCGCAGTGCAAAATGAGGAAGTAAGGGACTGTTCTAAACTGAGTGCAAAGAACTAGTCTTTCTTTTTGTTTCTTGCCTACTTTTCTCATCGTGGTGTTCTAATGGCAGCAGTATAAAATTAGGTGGATTGATTGAATCCTGACACATGCAGTTTTTATTTTTTCAGACTAGAAAGCCTTTTCTTTGGTACTAATTTTGAGCTTATTTGGAATACCACTTTTGGCTTTTTCCAACAGGAAATAAATCAATTCAAACTTCTTGGTGTCCTTATCTGCAAAAGTAAGTGTTTCGTGTATATTCTATGGTAGATTATAATTATGGTAGCATTATGAGCAGTAAAATATATGTAATAGCTCAGTGAAATTTTGAGGAACCAGATTGTGAAGGGATAGTAGACGAAAAGTTGGGTGATTTGAACTATTAATACAAAATGGTTATTTTGCAATCCAGAACCTTCTTAACTGCTATTTTCAGCAAGTAAGGAACTGTAGCATTGCAGCTTATAATATTATAGCAACTCTTGACATACCTGAAAACTTATTCACTGACTACCCCTAGCAGAATGCAGAAAAATAAATAGCTTCTGCCTTTCTCAAGATCTCAGAAAATTTAGGATATTCTCTCAGTAATTGAGAACACAGAACCAAGTGATACCATTTTGCTCAAAGAGTCAAGTGTAAGGCCAATATGATTTAAAAATTCCAGTACACAATATTGTTGCAATCAATATTCTAGCAATTGTTTTATTCCAAGTGTTGTTCTCCATGTACCAGTAAATAATGGATGCATGGATGCAAGGCCGGAGAAAATAGCCTGAAAGCAAAAGAAGTGAAAAGAAAAATAGAAAAGATAGTCTGCAGAGCCCTATTGCAGCGGGCCTGCATGACAAACTCCAATCTTAATACTTTTCCCAGCGCAATTAAGGAACTGAAATAGAAAAAGGATTCCAAACACATTCACCTTCCCCCATGATGTTAGTGCAATATATAAACCTTTAGCAGGCAGTTTTCTGGGCTATGTACAGACATCCTGGGGGGTTGTTTGGAACTGAAACTTATTGTATCAAATTTTTGAGCATTTCACTGGAGCAGGGATGACCAAACTTACTGACCCACTGGGCCACATATAATAATCTTCAGAAGTTCGAGAGCTGGGAGTGCCTGCTGGGGCTTGGGGCTTCAGCCCTGCGGGGCATGCCTTCTGGAGTTCCTGCCCTGCAGCAAGGTGGTGGGGCAAGGGAATTCTGCCCCATGGCAGGTGTCTCCCATGGGGCAGAAGCCCTGAGACCTCCCCCCCTCGCTGTTGGGCAGAAGCCCCTAGACCCAGCACCTCTCCTTAGGGCAGAAGCTGAATGCGGGGTGTGGTGGGCTTCACGAGCTGCACTTTAACTGTAAAAGAGCCACATGTGGCTCGCGAGCTGCAGTTTGGCCACCCCTTCACTAGAGTGTAACTTGGAGCCTGATCCAGAATCCACCTTAATAATAATAATAACTAACGATCCTATGAAATGCTGAGGCCCTCCATTCTCAGCTGCTGAGCAGGTTATTGGATTGAGCCCTAAGGGTATATTTATGTATGCTGCCACCAATTTTTAATTTAAGGCCTGTTCTTGCGTGGTCCTGAGTACTACTTGTGACATGCTGAGATCTCCAACTCCTGTAGCAGTAGGTGCTCAGCATCTTGCCAGCTTAAGCCATAAATTTGTATGAGATCCCCAAGTTTTTTCAGCTTGCCAAAACAGCTCCTGAATAAATCAGAGGAGTCAACGTTCCCAGGAGGCAGGCCCCGCAGCATTCTGAACCTAGGTGGGCTTGGGAGGTGAGAAAGTGGCAAAAATGGGCACTGTACAGAGAAGCAGATAGTCCCTGAAGTTAAAAGCTTACAACCCAATAGACAAGTCAGACACAGGGAGAGGAAAAGGGTAGAACACCCAAGCAGACTGCCCAGTACGGTAGTGGCAAATGTCATGTTAGTGCTGTGATTTCCCCCACCCCCACTCCTTTTTGTGGGTTTAGGTGGAAGGAAGTATGCTAAATGGAAAGAAAAGTGAAGAGGGAGGGGACACGGTAGTGAAGGAGGTGAGGGAGATAGGACAGGGGTGAAGATGAGGGTAAGAAGGGCAGATGGGGTGAAGCTGAGGTGAAGGGCCTGTGAGGGAGAAGGTTGCAGCAAATTCTGATCTACAATCTAGGTTTCCACTGGGCTAGACATGCAATGCTGGGTCACTAGCCTGACACTGCACACCAAGCCACCCTTATTGTAAAATAAGGGCTTGAAACAATCCCACATCAATATTCTCCCTGGAATTAACAGGAGATTTCTCAGTGTACATACTGTATTAGCCAAGATGGCCACCATCAATCCATTGATTTAATATTACGGTGGCATACCTACTGAATCTAGTCCCTTTATAGCCTTAAAGTGCTTCATGAATAATTAGGGCACAACTGTGGCTCACCCTACATGCTCATGCAGCGGAGTAAAGGGGTGTCTGGCACATCCTCACTCTTCTGGGTGGTTTAGTCAGTATGGTGGGCCCCAACTCGGCGGGGAGAGCAACCTCCATTGGGCCCTTCCGCCCTCCTGTGCAGATGGACAGGCAAAGGCAAGGAATGGGCAGAGCCTTGATGTGGTTGTCAGCATTGCTGAGCTAGTGCAGAGAGGGAAGTCACTGACACCTGCTATCAGATGAGAGCAGATTACTTCCCTCACAGGAGCAAGGCTGGGGGAGTAGAAATCAAACGGTGACTGTTACTGAGTCACAAGTCAGGTTCTAGTCTGAGCCTGGGCTGGCACAGCAACCTGATGCTCCTTACTATGGGCGGCGGGGAAACCTCTCTCTAGTCCTCATCAAATGAATCCCCACACAACCACTCAGCGGCAGGTGTTCCTCTCCTCACGTCACAGATGGGGAAACTGACATGCCAAGGTCCAAACTCTCAAAGGTGGTGTCTGATTTTGGGGGCCTCCCCAATATCCCATGTGTGTTTTTAGTTACTAACTTTTTATTAGAGAGAAGCAGAATTGTTGACAGTTCAAGTTTTTTTCAGCCATAAGTATTGAAGGAAGGGTGACTGATATCAAAGGTAAGGGGAACAGCAACGCTGAGGCAATATAGGGTATGAATTACAGTAAGTGTACCCACGTCTAAGAGTTCCGAGAAAGATTTTTGAAGGCAAAAGTGGCAGTTGGATACCTAACCCCCATTGACTTTCAAGTTAGGTATCTAATTGCCACTAGTGCATATGAAAATCTTCCACTATATTAATTACATTTTTCATTTCCCTTGTTCCAGCGTTCCTCAAATAGTTCAGTTGTTGCTCTTACGTAGGCAGTAAAAGGCTCCATTTCTTATAATTATTCCATTCTTGCCAACTGCATTTCTAGAGCTGACATTTGGTTTTGCAACCATAATGATGAAATACGTTCTCTCCAGCGGTTTTGTGCATTTCGTGTCTATTGTGTTGTGTTGTGCAAGACGGACATGTGAAAGTATCTAATCATAGTTTTCTGCTAGTATTGTCTCGCCAAGCATATTTTCAAAATGGAACGATCAAAGTCTGTACAAAAACACCACACATGCATTTTCCTTACACTGGAGCCCCGATAAAAATGTGAGAACGATTCTAAGGGGACCCTCCCAATGCTGTTTGGAGTTTTAAGCTGTCAGAGCAAGAAACTGTACCTTAGAGATCTTCCCTGTCAGATGTGCAATACTGTTTGCAGTGGATCTCTCACCTATTGATTATTCTGCTTTCCTGTTCTCACAATGTGAATGTTTAACAAGGCGTGCCTCACTTTCCTTTAAATTTACTTCTTCCCCTATGTTTTTGAGACTTGGAACTTTTTTTAATAAGAAGGAAATGTGTTTCCCCTTCATAATAAAACCTAGCTCTTATACAGCACTTTTCTTCCATAGGTCTCAAAATGCTTTACAAGGGTGGTCAGTATCATTATCCCCATTTTACAGATGGGGAAACTGAGGCACAGGGAGGGTAGTGACTTGCCCACGGTCACCCTGCAGGTCCATGGCAGTGCTGAGTCCACATGCAGTACTCTATCAATTAGGCCATAGGAACATAGCATTAATAATACCGGGCAGATTATTTATCCGTGATATCTGATATTCTGCCTCTAGCAATAGCTAAGATTTGATGCTTCAATGGAAGGTGAACTGTGGCCCTCGCTTCCAGAATGCGCCTGATTAGCTATACAATGCTGTTCCCCTTCCTGCCCTTTGTCTGTTTACATTGTAAAGGGCAGAAACTGGCTCTTACTCTGTGTTTGTACAGAGTCTTGCATGATGTAGACCAATCTCAGACTATTGTAATACAAATAATGAGCAATAATAATTATAAATGGCTGGTGGTGATGCAAGTTGTAGTCCTTTCTGACCCCGGCAGATGATAATTTTGTACACTGATGTATAAGATTTTAATATCCCTATTTTTAGCTTGCATACTGTAATTACAAATGTTATTATCCAACCCCTTAAAATCCAGTTACAGTATGTGACAAGATTTCCTGATGCAGTGAATTTAAATTTACTTGCCATTAGTGTAATAAGTTAACCTCTTGTTCTTATATTATAGGACAAAGTAAAGAGAGACTGCTCAGTTTTTAACTATACTCTTCAGAATCTTAGTCTCCTTTAGCTCTTTACCATTCCTGACTAAGCAAGCCTAGCTTTCTCAGCCTTTTATATTACATATAAAAAATCCTATGTTAAAAGAACATTAAGGTTGCAAAGTCAAGCATTCTAATGTTAGGAAATTCTAGGATTACGTTTGTGTATACAAACTTATTCTGCTCTCCCTGATATGTTTAAATTTTTGAAAGATACAATTCCAGGTGATAGAGAGGAATGTTTTCTAGTGGTTTTAGACCCTTCTGCCTCTGTGCTCCAACCTGTTTTTGTCCCTCTTTGCTCCTATCCAATTCACCCCCACTTTGGCATCTGCTACCCTCTCCCACTCTTCCTGTCCAGTTTTGAAAATCCCTTCCATAGTCTTCTATATGCTAACAAGATACTTTGGTCTGTTCTCCTTTTGTGTGTTGCCATCCCCATTTTATTTCAGGACAGTAGTAGTTGGGAAGGGAATTAACGTCAAAACCTGAGCTTTTTTGAACTTCCTTCTAAAATACATACAGTCTTCTAGATTCGCTATATTCTTGGTTTATTCATCCCAAACAGTTAAGTGCTGACCATTTTTATAACTTGCACCCCGATGTCTCCTGCTGAAGCATTTATCAACTGAACTGAAATAGGATTTTGCTGATCTAATTCAGATTAAGCAGAAGTGACTGGAGTTAAGACTTTTTTTGAATACTGTAGTGCTTTTCATCTCCAGGAAAAAACTGATTAACTTCATTTTAATTTTAATGTTGCTTAAATATACGTTGCCTCATGTTTAAAAGTAGGTCACCCACAAACACTTCAAAAACTGCTGAAAGAAATAATTTCATTTGGTGCATATTCCCTCATTCGTACTCATTTTGGCTCTAGCACATTTTGAATTTTTTTTTTCAATTTTCTAGGAGCAAAAAATAATACAATGGAACCAGACTTTCTCACTGCTTTTGCACAGCCCAGTGCACTTCATCATTCACCACCTAAGAATGACATTGTTCAAGGTATGTGTTTTATAAACCAGCAATGAAGAAAGAGAGAGGAGGGACCCAAAGAAACAAAAAAAAAAGAAAGTTCTCAGCACAGATGAATTTCACTTGTTTTACAACATTATTCCCAGGTTCGGACAAGTGTAAGTAAGTAACCCTTTTGCATGGAATTTAGCCTCCAACTCTCCATAGGCGGGTTATGAAGAGTCAATGCAAGTTCCGGTTAATCCTCTAAATGAGGTTTACAATTCACAAAAGAACCAAACCAAACTGTGTTTCTGTTTATTTTTAGAAAGTGTCCCTTTCGTCTTATCAATTTGAATCCCCTGGAAAGAAATTTCTAACAGGCAATTGTAATGATCTGATATGCCCTTTTCTCTCTCATAGGAAATCTATAAAATTACAAATGAGTACACTTTTTCATGGTGTAATTAGCAAAATGGGGCAATACTCAACTGATGGCAGTTGTTATAGAAAACTTGCATTAGTCACATCAGAGAATTGTAATGGATATTGTTCACTTCTGTTTATAGGAGAAAAGAGGAAATTAATAAATCCTACATCCTGCAATAATGCTAAGCTGGACGAACTACAAATGGTATAATTTCTTTTACTAAATTATAATTTACACATGAACTGTTGTTTTTAAATGTTTTGTAATCAGGCTCCATCATGTAAGGTACTGAGCACTCTAGCCCCAGTCCAGCAAAGTACTTAAGCAGGTTACAGGTTTCAGAGTGGTAGCCGTGTTAGTCTCAGCAAAAACAAAAACGATGAGTACTTGTGGCATCTTAGAGACTAACAAATTTATTTGGTGTGACAGGGTCAGGCCAGATGGCTACAGGAGAGTGAAAGAAGGCAGATATATTAGCTCCAGGTTAAGTAAGTCCTTTTTCCCTGGGTAAGGTAACAGGGAAGATTCCAGAACAATCAGGAACTTTCTGGAAACAATTAAGGCAGACAGGCTGATTAGAACACCTGCAGCCAATCAAGAAGCTGCCAGAATCAATTAAGATAGGCAGGCTAATCAGGGCACCTGGGTTTAAAAAGGAGCTCACTTCAGCTTCTGGTGTGCATGTGAGGAGCTGGGAGCAAGAGGTGCAAGAAGCTGAGTGTGAGAGGGCGTACTACTGGAAGACTGAGAAGTACAAGCATTATTAGATATCAGGAGGAAGGTCCTGTGGTGAGAATAAAGAAGGTGTTGGGAGGAGGCCATGGGAAAGTAGCCCAGGAAGTTGTAGCTGTCACGCAGCTGTTACCAGGAGCCACTGAAGACAGCTGCAATCCACAGGGCCCGGGGCTGGAACCCGGAGTAGAGGGCAGGCCCGGGTTCCCCCCATCTCTCCATCCCCTCAACTCCCTACTTGATCCTGGAGGAGTTGACCTGGACTGTGGGTTCCATCAGAGGGGAAGGTCTCTGGCCTGTTCCCCGATCCACTAGGTGGATCAGCAGAGACTGCGGGGTTTGTTCTTCTTCCTTTTCCCCAAGCTGGCCAGTGATGAGGCTAACTGAGTGAACAGCAGATTTGAGCCATGAAAGTCGCCAAACTGAGGGCTGCCGTGGACCCCTGAGGCGAGCAAATCCGCCAATAAGCGCAGGACCCACCAAGGCAGAGGAGGAACTTTGTCACATTGGGCATAAGCTTTCATGGGTTAAAACCCACTTCATCGGATGCATGCAGTGAAAAATACAGTAAGAAGATATATATACACAGAGAACATGAAAAAATGGGTATTGCCATACCAACTGTAACAAGACTAATCAATTAAGGTGGGCTATTATCAGCAGGAGGGGGAAAAAACTTTTGTAGTGATAATCAGGATGGCCCATTTCAAACCATTAACAAGAAGTTGTGAGTAATAGGAGGGGGAAAATTAGCATGGGGAAATAGTTTTTGCTTTGTATGATGACCCATCCACTCCGAGTCTTTATTCAAGTCTAAAGTAATGGTGTCCAGTTTGCAAATTAATTCCAATTCTGCAGTTTCTCGTTGGAGTCTGTTTTTGAAGTTTTTTTGTTGGAGAATTGCGACTTTTAGGTCTGAAATTGAGTGACCAGGGAGGTTGAAGTGTTCTCCAACTGGTTTTTGAATGTTATAATTCTTGACGTCTGATTTGTGTCTATTTATTCTTTTGCGCAGAGATTGTTCGGTTTGGCCAATGTACATGGCAGAGGGGCATTGCTGGCCCACGATGGCATATATCACATTGGTAGATGTGCAGGTGAACGAGCCTCTGATAGTGTGGCCAATGTGATTAGGCCCTATCATGGTATCCCTTGAATAGATATGTGGACAGAGTTGGCAACGGGCTTTGTTGCAAGGATAGGTTCCTGGATTAGTGTTTTTGTTGTGTGGTATGTGGTTGCTGGTGAGTATTGGCTTCAGATTGGGGGGCTGTCTGTAAGCGAGGACTGGCCTGTCTCCCAAGATCTGTGAGAGTGAGGGATCATCCTTCAGGATAGGTTGTAGATCCTTGATGATGCATTGGAGAGGTTTTAGTTGGGGGCTGAAGGTGATGGCTAGTGGCGTTCTGTTACTTTCTTTGTTGGGCCTGTCCTGGAGTAGGTGACATCTGGGTATTCTTCTGGCTCTGTCAATCTGTTTCTTCACTTCAGCAGGTGGCTATTGTAGTTGTAAGAACGCTTGATAGAGATTTTGTAGGTGTTTGTCTCTATCTGAGGGATTGGAGCAAATGCGGTTGTATCGTAGTGCTTGGCTGTAGACCATGGATCGTGTGATGTGGTCTGGATGAAAGCTGGAGGCATGTAGGTAAGTATAGCGGTCAGTAGGTTTCTGGTATAGGGTGGTGTTTATGTGGCCATCACTTATTAGCACAATAGTGTCCAGGAAGTGGATCTCTTGTGTGGACTTGTCCAGGCTGAGGTTGATGGTGAGATGGAAATGGTTGAAATCATGGTGGAATTCCTCAAGGGCTTCTTTTCCATAGGTCCAGATGATGAAGATGTCATCAATGTAGCGCAAGTAGAGTAGGGGCATTAGGGGACGAGAGCTGAGGAAGCGTTGTTCTAAGTCAGCCATAAAAATGTTGGCATACTGTGGGGCCATGCGGATACCCATAGCAGTGCCGCTGACTTGAAGCTATATATTGTCCCCAAACATGAAATAGTTATGGGTTAGTCACAAAGTTCAGCCACCAGGTTTGCCATGACATTATCGGGGATACTGTTCCTGACAGCTTGTAGTCCATCTTTGTGTTGAATGTTGGTGTAGAGGGCTTCTACATCCATAGTGGCCAGGATGGTGTTTTCTGGAAGATCACCAATGGATTGTAGTTTCCTCAGGAAGTCAGTGATGTCTCGAAGGTAGCTGGGAGTGCTGGTAGCGTAGGGCCTGAGGAAAGAGTCTACATAGCCAGACAATCCTGCTGTCAGGGTGCCAATGCCTGAGATGATGGGGTGTCCAGGATTTCCAGGTTTATGGATCTTGGGTAGCAGATAGAATACCCCTGGTTGGAGTTCTAGGGGTGTGTCTGTGCAGATTTTTTCCTGTGCTTTTTCAGGGAGTTTCTTGAGCAAATAGTGTAGTTTCTTTTGGTAACCTTCAGTGGGATCAGATGGTAATGGCCTGTAGAATGTGGTGTTTAGAGAGCTGCTTAGCAGACTCTCGTTCATATTGCGACCTATTCATGATGACAACAGCACCTCCTTTGTCAGCCTTTTTGATTATGATGTCAGAGTTGTTTCTGAGGCTGTGGATGGCATTGTGTTCTGCACGGCTGAGGTTATGGGGCACATGATGCTGCTTTTCCACAATTTCAGCCCGTGCACATCGGCGGAAGCACTCTATGTAGAAGTCCAGTCTGTTGTTTCGACCTTCAGGAGGAGTCCACGCAGAATCCTTCTTTTTCTAGTGTTGGTAGGAAGGTTTCTGTGGATTAGTGTGCTGTTCAGAGGTGTTTTGGAAATATTCCTTGAGTCGGAGACGTCGAAAGTAGGATTCCAGGTCACCACAGAACTGTATCATGTTCGTGGGGGTGGAGGGGCAGAAGGAGAGGCCCCGAGATAGGACAGACTTTGTGACAGGTATTTTAAAAATGCCCTTTGAGTGTTGGTGTGTATGTATAGCTCATATTCACAAATCCCTAAACATATATTTGTGTGTTTCTATATTATATGTTTCCTAAAACCTAATGAGCTCACAATCGGTTCATGAAGGATTTAATTTTTGCAACAGGGTTTACCATTACCATATTTTAATAAACGAGAGAATCTGAGAGGTGGTATAGCAAAAAGGAATCACTAAAGACACTGAATTCATTCTTCACAAGTTGCCAAAATAAAAGATTTCTTTAGCCTGTGATTGTGAAGATTCCTGTGAGCTTTGCTGTTGACCCCATTCATGGTTACAGACCATGCAACCTGGGTTTGACTGACTAACCCAGGGGTTCTCAAACTGGGGGTTGGGACCCCTCAGGGGGTCGGGAGGTTATTACATGGGGGTCGCAAGCTGTCAGCCTCCACCCCAAACCCCTTATTTGCCTCCAGTATTTATAATGGTGTTAAGTATATTAAAAAGTGCTTAATTTATAAGGGGGGGGGGTCGCACTCTGAGACTTGCTATGGGAAAGGGGTCACCAGTACAAAAGTTTGAGAACCACTGGATTCACCCGTTTCCTCACTGGCCAGGGGAAGAGAGAGAATGCTTTATGTTGCTCATCATCAGTAATTCCTTCTGGCATATCGGGGAGTGGCAGGCATTGTCTTCCTTGTCTGGAGAGTTCACAGCTCTGACAGCGAGCCTTTAGCAAGGCAATTATAATGGGAGACATTGGAGTCGCTTCAAGGGCTGCCTTAGAGAAGCAAAGAAACTCACTTGTGGAAAATATTAAATTAGTTTCCTGATTTAATTGGGTGTTCTTATCAGGGTGGCTTTGGGGGCAAAGAAATATAAGCTGCAAGATGGGCCACCTCAGTTGCCAAGATTATTAAACTACAGGTAAAATGTGAAGTGCTAAAAGCAAGAAGAAGTTAGTAGCAAAGTTCTGCTTCAACTACTCTTTTTTCCTTTCCCTACCTGTTCTTTTCTTCTGTATTTTCAGATACACTTCTCTGTACTGCTGCCTGGGGAGACCCTGGTAGCTAGAGGTAAGGCAATGTTGCCTAAGCTGTAGGCTAGGGAGATGGCTGTTAAAAGATAAAACAGGTGAACCAGGAAGCTTGTGACTCTATTTTCAGCAGTGCAGTTCATCAGCTTATGCCACTGCCCTCAGCTTGCCAGTTCAAACTGCACTAATCCAATGCATCGTCAGAACTTGAACTCTAGGCATTAGGTGAAGAGAGAACCACAGTTCACTGAGTGAAATCCTGCTGTCTCTTGGCTTTGAATATACATTACACACACTTTGAGAGCTCATCAATATAGAGCAGAGAGGTTTTTTAGTTTCTTGTGAATTTTCAAACATCTCATAGGGTTTTTAAGTTTTCTTTCATACATTTTTCTTTGAGAAGCATGTCTTCAGAGTAACAATATGGACTGGAATGTTTCAGCCTGACGAACAGTCTAATGAGGGGAAAATAGGCTTATTCAGGATTCCATTCACCACTGGGCAGAGAAGCAGCACAAAACTGATACACCAATTAAGCCCTCCAAGTAGGGTTTAATTGGGACAGACATGAGCATGGACCATAGAACTGGGGGCTTCCAGAACTAAAGCATGAGCTGTCACAGCTTGAGCTAGAGCCAAATCTCTGTAGCTGGGCTATAACAGACTAATAGCCTCTAAAAAGAAAAGGAGGACTTGTGGCACCTTAGAGACTAACCAATTTATTTGAGCTACAGCTCACTTCATCGGATGCATTCAGTGGAAAATAAACAGCGAATGCATCCGATGAAGTGAGCTGTAGCTCACGAAAGCTTATTCTCAAATGAATTTGTTAGTCTCTAAGGTGCCACAAGTTCTCCTTTTCTTTTTGCGAATACAGACTAACACGGCTGCTACTCTAATACCCTCTGCGGATCAGGCACAGAAGAGGACCCATAACACATATTCACCGGTGGGTTTCACTGGCTTTCTGCACAGAATGAATTCTACCCTTTAAGCATTTCATATTTTGAAGTGCTGAAACACATTCGATCAACCACAGCAGAGAGGACACAAATAATCTGAGCACCTTCCTTTACCACACAAAGATGTGTTCCATTACATACTGTGTATATGCCACTTAGTGAGATGAATTGAAAATAAAGCGGATGTGGGTGAGGAGGAGAGAAAATGAAAATGGAGAGAGAAGAGAGTTGGAAAGAGAAAATAGGGGCATGATGTTGAGAGAGAGAGAAGACTGAAATAAAATAAAGACAAGGAGAGACTCGATGGAGGATGAAAACAAAACAAAAGACAAAGGAGAAAGGTGCACTCTTGTGGTGGTCAAGTGTTACCATTTATTTTCCCACTTTTTGTTCCAGCAACAGATATATCATTGTTGACTGTTTGATTTTTCCCTGCAGCTCTTGATAGATTGGATTAACACAACCCTGAAAGAGGAACACATCATAGTAAAAAGCCTGGAAGAAGATCTGTTTGATGGGCTGATACTTCATCATCTCTTGGGTAAGTCGCTTCTTTGAGCTCTGCTCCCTAATAAATCTCGCATGCTCTTCAGTGCAGAAGCTCACAGATAAAATAAAAACCAAACACACTAAACTGTAAGAACAGCTTTGCTTGCTGGTATCGTACTAATTATTAATGCCTCTTGCACTCAAATAGACACGAGCACTGCACTGTGAACCATATGTGGTAATTGTAATCCTGAACAGGTGCTTGATCTACCCTTCCCCACCAACCTTTGGAAAGTCTTTTTATTCCGTTGTTTATATAGAGAGTAAAAAGGTTAACTTTGAAGTCTGAGGTTATAACACCTCCAAGAGGTGCTGATGACATTGTAAGCCATGACAGTGAATATGATTTATGATATTACCATAAATACCAGCTGGAATCACCTCTACAATTATACATATATATGTATTGTGACAGGATCAGACCAGATGGCTACAAAAGAGCGGTTGAAGGTAGATACATTAGTTCCAGGTTAAGCAGGTCCCTTTTCCCTGGGTAAAATAACAGGGACTATTCCAGAACACTCATGAACTTTCTAGAGCTAATTAAGGCAGGCGGGCAGGCTAATTAGGACACCTGTAGCCAATTGGGAAGCTGCTAGAATTAATTAAGGCTAATCAGGACACCTGGTTTAAAAAGGCTGTCACTCCAGTTAGTGAAGTGTGTGCAAGCAGCTGAGAGTGAGAGGGTATGCTGCTGGAGGACTGAGGAGTACAAATGCTATCTGGCATCAGGAGGAAGGTCCTGCGTTCAGGATACAGAGGAGGCCATGGGGATGTAGCCCAGGGAGTTGTAGCTGTCACGCAGCTGTTACAGGAGCCACTGTAGACAGCTGCAATCCACAAGGCCCTGGGCTGGAACCCGGAGTAGAGGGCAGGCCCAAGTCCCCCCCAACTCCCTATTGGATACAGGAGAAGTTGACTTGAACTGTGGGTCCCACCAGAGGGGAAGGTCCCTGGCCTGTCCCCTGACCCACTAGGTGGACCAGCAGAGACTGTGGGGATTGTTCTCCTTCCTTTTCCCCATGCTGGCCAGTGATGAGGTTATCTGAGTGAATGGCAGATTTGAGCCACGAAAGTGGCCAAACTGAGGGCTACTGTGAATCTCTGAGGTGAGCAAAATCTGCCAGTAAGCACAGGATCCACCAAGGTAGAGGAGGAATTTTGTCACAATATATATTTAAAAGCCATAGTCTGAGACCTCAGGCCAGAACTTCAGCTGCTGAAAATCAATGTGGCTATATTCACTTCAATGGAGCAACATCAATTTTATACTAGTTGAAGGTTTGGCCTCTTGAATCAATGCCCAGCCTAAAGTTATGGTCTACCATTCCCCCCATGACCATCCCTCTAATTACTGCGGTCTTCATCCTCTTCTCCACTCTACTTTGACTGCAACTGGATTGGCCCTCACCTCCTAATCTTCTGATCATAAATCATAGTGGTGCCACCAGGCTCATGAATAGGATTGGTTTTCTTTTATAATTTGGGGCTGTGATGTCACAACTATGAACTAAGATTTTTTTTTATATATGAACTGCTATGTGCTCAGCACATATACCAATCTACAGGGCAGATTCACTCATTGGATTCCTGCAGTTCCCACTGGTAAAACCCAGGGTGTGGACCACTTGTGGCTAAAAGTCAATCTGCAGGGCAATCAGAACCATGCAGTCAGAACCATGTGCAGAGCCTTATTGATGTCAGTGAGATTCTGCATGAACCCAAGGGAGTACCTATGCACATCCAATTGCAGGTTTTGGGTCTGCGTTATATAATTTATTAAATTATACTGATCACTTACATCAAGACTTTTTTTGGTATTTCTGCTATGATTTTGTATTGTCTCTACAGTGCTGTTAAAACACATCAATCTTGCTTTGTTTTGTTTTAACTATGCTCCATCTCAGAAAAACTAGGATCTCTCAGGCTGGATGTTGAGAAGATGGCACTGACGGAAAAAAAACAGAAGCGTAAACTTGCTGTTATTCTGGAAGCTGTGGGCCAGTGTTTACAACTAGAAGAGAGCCAGCTGAAATGGAGTGTTGATTGTATGTGGAGAAGTAAAATGCAAGGAAATTACCTCATAAAAATACATTGTTCTGGGGTTTTACTGGGCTAAGATGATGTTGCTAAAGGACGGATGATCTTGGGGTTAAGGCACTGAAATATAGCCAGGAACTGAACCCAGTTCTCCTGTGTCTAACTGCAGACTTCCTATTTGACCCTGAACAGGTCTCTTTAAACCTCATTCCCACAGCTATAAAATGGGACTAATCTGCCCTTCCTCACAAGCATATTTGGAGGCATATTTCATATTTTGGTTGTAAAGCACTAGAATGTTCTCAGGAAGGGGCAATGGGAATGCAAAGTATTACTATTAGGCTGTAATGAGTTTGCACATTACTTATAATTTGCTTTCTTTACATGAAACAGCTATCTTCCAGAAGGACTTACTGAGCACATTATATCTTCTGATTGCAATAGCAAAGCACTTCCAACCTGATCTGCCTATCCCTTCAAATATTAGTGTGGAAGTAATAATCATTGAGGTAATTATGGCTCTTTCCTTTGCTGCCATGGGGTCACAGAAATCTCACAAGAAATTAAAAAATACAGTGGAAGAAAAGTGTGGTGAATATCACTGTATAACTGTTCTGCTTTTGTTTTCTGTGTAATTCACCTTTTAATTCTAGAAATCTGTTGTTTGCAGGAGTAACCAGCCATTTTGTGTTCAGTTCAGAGGTAGCGTTCTACAGAGACTACAAACACAATGCTTTGTCATTGAGACTTTCCTGCTACGCTTTTGCTGTTTCCACTTAATGTAAAATAAAAGGCATTCAGACTGAAAGCAGAGTTACTCTTGGTGGATGGAAAATTATTACTGATTATAACCCCAACTGTTCAAAATTCATTTGTCTGCTTCCCAAAATCCTGAGATTGGCCTAAAAATCATGAGATTTTTCTTTTAAAAATTTGGGGTTTTTATTTACTTTCTGATTTTTGTGACTTTAGGGTGCACTTGGGTCACATTTTCAAGCTTTTCTTCACACCTATGAGGGCTAGGAATTTACCTTCAGAATTTTATTTATTTAGGTAATGAAATGAAAACTGAGATCCTCACATAGTTACATGACTCTAGGATCTGGGGCTTTAAGAAAAACATCACATATCCCACAACTTGTGATATAATTGTGGAAGTTGGCAATACTGAGTCAGATTTTTAACTGTGGGTGAAGTTCCCTTGCATATAGAACATAGCATGAGGCCTATATCCCCCTTAAAGTCCACTTAATCCCTATTTGAAGGGCTACACATGGGACTTAAGTGATGCATATGCCTTGGGCTTGCTCTCTACACATTTACATCGAGGAAAGTCTGGATTTAAATGCTTTATTGTATGGATAGCCTCTGACAGGAAGATCTAGATCTTGACCATACAAGACGCCAGTAAAGTCATTTTTGACAGTTGGACTTAGGATCCTAAGTCACTTAAGCACTTGTGAATATTTTAAACTTAAAGTTTATAGCTGCAAACTGTTAATAAAAGTTGCCTTTACTCCAACACATTTCCTTCTATAGTCCTTGCAGTTAAATATTATTCTATATTGGCTTTCTGTTTAACAGCGTACCTTAACAGGATTAAGGACAGAAAATGCAGTGGAATATATCACGGAGAATAGGTAAGAGAAGAAACATTTTGTTTTATACATTGTATACATTTTCCAATAACTTAAGCATGTGCTTTCCAGAATTCCACCCACGTTGATACCCTGATTTACAGTTTCACTTTTCTGGGACATTGTGAATTAAAACAAGGGAACACACACATTCTGCAAAGGAATTTCTAAACCAGTCACACTTTAGTCATAGACAAAGCACAAGAGATATTCATATCTGAAACAACAAATGCCTGAACACAAGACCTTTCCTCAATTTCCTCATCCTTCCTGGGAGCTCTTTTGGTATTAATCAGTATCCTTCAGTGAGTCCAGGATCCTCTGACACCATTCTCTGTTCAGTCTTGTCTTCTGGTTTTGGCCCCCTTGCTAAAGTAAGTCTTCTTTTAACAACTGTTTATTAGACCTTTTCTCTTCCTGGCCTTCCCCTGGGGTTATTCCAGCCTCTAGCCCCCTATGGGCTGTGGCTAGGGGTGGTTGGAAGGCAACAATTTCATTTTATGAAAAAATTCCAGATTTCAAAATTTGTTTTTGTTCTGCATCAGATCAAAAGGGCAATGTTTCAAAATATTTTATGAATGAATACAAGAGAGGCAGAAAAAAGATACACCACCCCAATAATAGGCAATAGTCCAAAGGTTAGGGCATTCACGCTGGTTAAGTCACTGGTTTGGAGGAGGGATTTTAACCTGGGTCACCCACATCCTAGGTGGACGTAGGGCATTGGCTATTCTGTGGTGGGTTGGTGTGTCTCACTCACTAATAAGACTCCATCCTGGACTTTAGAAACCTTCCTCACAAAATTTTCATCAGAACATTTTGATTTCAATGAATCAGTGTTCAACTAACTCTAGCTGTGGCCTTCAGCATCCTCTATATTTGTTACCATGGATAACAGCCATTAGTAAGTCAGTAATCTCTGGCCAGTGGTCTCCACTGTCCTCCTAGGGCCAGGTTATTAAACTATTGATTGTCCTTATCGAGGGTCAACCCCTTAGGTGCCAGACCCTTTGCAAAAGAGGGAAGATGTAATTTTTACATGACAGCATACAGAATCAAATAAGCATATAATCACACAAAGAGTTCATAAAAATCAAACTGAAAGTCATAAGTTCATATAAACGTATTCCCAATATGTCACACCAACACATTGACCTGATCAGAAAAAAATTCTGAAATTGCTATTACCAAAAAGTTCAATTATACATCATGTCTGGTTGCCATTTAGTTACAATCGGTTCAGTAATTTAAGCATTTTCAGGGCTTAGTAAACCTACTGCCATGCTAAATAAACACTACTGCCATTGGACGAAGTAGAGTCATTTATTCATCTTGCAGAGCCCTTACTGGTTTTGACTGGTCTTAGCAACACCTGACAAATGACATAGTTAGTAAACCAAGCATGTTAGGTTTATACATCTGAGGTTAAAACTGCAATTGTATAAAAACAAAACCAGTTTACATATTACTAATTTATAGCTATTGTATTAATATATTACCAGAGTTCAGCAATTTTTCCTTATTTTGGTAGTAAAGAAAGAACAATCTGATCTCGCTCAGTTTGTGAGATTCTCTAATTATTATATGAGCTCAGCCATGGGACACAATGAAATTATGGAGGTCGCACCGTGAGCTGGAAACAGTTTTTCCCTTCTACAGTTCCATCATCAACTATTATATTTTATATGTTAACACAACTTCAAATTCTAGTATTGTGAGCAGCTCGTTGGAAAACTGTGCTTATAAAATAAATGTGCGTTAGTCTGTGTGCCAATTAAAATATTATATTCTTCCAAGAACACATAAATACAGTGCACTATAAAACTGTCTGTTGGAAAGCTACCTCTGGCAAATAACTGGTGAGGTTCTGTATTCTATCTCCTACTTCATAGGGATCCTTATGGCACAGATATGCTTTGCTTAGAAATTGGATTAGTTCTGCTATATGTTTTTGCTAATTCTCTTTTTGTTGTTGAATCTTTAGAGAGAATTTAGAAGGCCAGTCAAGTAAGTACTCTGAAGGCCAAATTCAGTGTTTCTTTACTGCATACTGTTTTCAAAAGTTGTATGTATCCAATTCGGATCTCACTGACGTAATGATAAATCAGGGCTATCCCCATGAGATCCAGTGGAGTTACAATGGTATAATACTGGGAGGAGATCAGAACTGGGCCCATCATGGTTCTACTTGATCACCCCACAGGGAGAGCCTAAAGCCATACTGGCAATGAGAAATAAAATCGAGGGAGGCAAAATGATGGAGGGGTGAAGTGAGATGAATCCCATTTACTTCAGTTGAACTATTCATGTGTGTAATAGCTGTAGAATTGGGCTTCTGACTTGCTGCCAGTTTCATTCAGGTCTATTTTCTTTAGTTTGCAAAATAACGTTTTGAAACTTTATTATCACTTGATAACAGACCTTAACAACCAGGTTAATCCAAAGCTGAATGTACCATCAGAACCACCGAAGGAAGTAAAACATTTCATTGTGAAATTCACCCTGGTGAAGAGGGTCAGCAGAAGGCTTCTATACCACTTATGCTCCATTTTGGGGACTTACAAGGCCTGTTTGAGCCTTGCTATCTGCAAAGGGGTAAATTTCACCCTCAGTGAATAAATGGGGCTGCTTTAATTCTCTTCTGTGCAATTCATATGACCAGTAACAGCCAGTGCAGAGACAAAGTATTTCATTGAACATGTATTTATTTTTTATCAGTTATTTCATTAAGTGGTCTTCATTTATAAACTGAGACAATGCAGAAAACCTGCAGATGAATCTGTCAAAGGAAGAAACCTTAATTCACTCTTCAGTCTTTAATCTATTTTTTAAAAAATATATCTTGCTTAAAGAAAGGAAGAAAAACACAAAGCTTAGCTCCAGAAGAAGGCTCTCTAGTTTGTGACAATGCTGTAGGATTTACACACATTCCTGCTATTGATTTATTATTCTTTGTTTCCCAACAATACTGAACCCACAATTGAATAGGGAGAATGAGATCCAGTGGCACTCTCTCAATACTTATGTAGTATAGCTGCCAATTTTGATGAGTAGTCTCTCTCCTAAACAAAGCTGAATTCACTTCCCACACCATAGAAGCCACAATCTCTTCTTAATTACGCTGGCATAATGCCCCTGATTTTAATCGAGTTGGAGAACTTTGTTCATCTCAGGCAAAAGCAATTGTGTTCATGGGTCACTGGAGTGGGAATTCACAAAAATTTCATTTCCATTTTTCACTGAAAATGTCCGAATTTCATTCCAATTTCCAGCCCTAATTCTCACATGTAATGTTACTCAAAATTACTGGGTGAGGTTCTATGCTCTGTGTTATGCAGGAGGTCAGACGCAACTGGTCCCTTCTGACCTTCAAATCTATGGATTTAGAATTATGGGCAAATATTCCTATCACTGAATGTAGGGCCATTCTCCACCCTCAGTTTTTGTACAAAACTCCCATTGATGTCAATGGAAATTTCAGGTACTGAAGAATGGTAATATATGCCACTTATTTTCTACTGATTTTTATTGCAAATGTTCAGGGTTAAGGCGCGGAAATGAAAAGAGATGAACTATAGGGCCCATGGAACTGCAGCTTGCCTAGGGCTCATGCTAATGGTAGCACAAACTATGAGAACCCATGCCTGTGAAAATTAGGGAAGCTGATTAAAAACAAACTATTTTGTCTGACATAGGAGTTAAAGTCAGGGGAAGCACAGCTCTCTCTTCTCTTTTATATGAAGTGGGGAAGAGAATATCAGGGAGCAGTGCTCTTCCTCAACTCGACTTCTCCTGGGCTTCTACAGGGAGGGTTCCCACACTCCCAGTTCAGTTTATTTTAACCACTGGTCTAGTAGTTACTCCAGAGAATCCCAATTAACATTTATTGAATATTTTGCCATAGAAGCTGATGCCTTTGATGAATTATTCTCACATGCACCGGACAAACTGGATGCTGTGAAAAAGGTAACTTTTAAACGTTAAACAGACATTGACATTTGCATTATAAGATATAATTAACGAATTCTCTAAAAATTCCATTTTCCCCCCTCCCATTCTTTAGGTGCTTTTGCAATTTGTCAACAAGCATGTTGGAAAATTAGGATTAAACGTGAAAGATGCTGACTCTCAGGTAGCACTCTTTGAGATGTATGTTAAAATGTCTGTCGGTTACATTAATATTCCCTGTCACCTCCAAAATTCCTATATTTCTCTTTTAAACTTGGCAAATGTACACATTCATTCATAGCCTGAGTTCAGGCATATCAAGTGTCAATTTGGGAGGATTTTTAATGCCAATATGATAAGTAATTGAAAATAAGGGGTTTGTATGGAACACCATCCCAAGGTTGCAGTCATATAGGTCCTGATTTTCAGAGGCTCTTGAACCCCTACATCTTCCACTGACTTATGTTGGAAATGTGGGTGCTCAGCATCTTTGAAAATTAGGCCTAAATTGTCCATAGTGACTAGTGATTTTTTGAGTGCCTAACTTAAGACATGGTCGAGAGGCCTGGTTTTCACAAAGTGCTGACCTCCAGCCCTCTGAAAATCAGCCCCCTTTAAAGTGCCTGAAGGTGGTCACCCAAAATCACTGGACACTTGTGAAAATCTAGGTCATAATTTATAGGTAAGGCTAAGATTTTTGTCATGGGAATTTTTAGTAAAAGTCACGGACAGGTCATGGGCAATAAAGAAAAGTTCACGGAAGCTGTGACCTGTCTGTGACTTTCACTAAAAATATCCATGATAAAATGGGAAGGAGCTGGGCAACTGCGGGGTGGCTGGGAGTTCCGGGGACCCCACCACCTGTGGGGGCTCAGAGCCCCAGTGTCGGGGAGCTGCGGGGATCTTCCTGTACCACCGCTATGTGGAGCTGTGGGGGTCCTCCTGCCCCGCCACAGTTGGCAGGGAGCTGCGGGGATCCCCCTGCCCACGGTGGCCGGAAGCTGTGGGGTACCCCCCATGCCCATGGTGACTGGCAGTTGGGGGCCTCACCGCTCCCTGCTGCTGTGGAAGGCAGCGAGACCCTGCAGCTCCTAGCCGCCAGGGCTGAAGTCATGGAGGTCTTCGGAAGTCACAGATCCTGTGAGTTCCGCAACCTCTGTGACAAAATCGTAGCCTTATTTATAGGGCATGATTGTTCCAGAGGCACAGCCCTGCGCTGGGAACAACGTGGAGCCACCACCTCTGGAGGAGTTCCAACAGGGTTTGCACTCATCAGACACATCCCTCACAGAGCACAGGGGAGAGTTCACACTGCACCATCTGTGAGGATGGGTGCAGCCTGCTCACTCCAGTGAGGAGGTGAGGTGCTATAATTCGGTCTCCTCCCACCTCCCATTGGTGCAACTGGCACCTCTTGGGGCACATAAGTGGGAGGGAAACCGTCCTTATGCTAGCGAGAGTACAGGAATTGTGATTCTCCCATGCCTCTGAGTAGGGTGAACAAGTGGAAGCAGATTGGGATGCGGAAGTTCCTTGTGCTTTTTTCCTTCTTGGCATGCACATGAAAGGGTGGGGGAAATCTAGCCTACAGCTGACACTTCACTGCAACCATTAAAACCTTTGACGCAATAATAATTCCACTGGCTTGCATTGTATGGCTGGAGACTGCAGTGTTAATTACCAAGAATGGAGCTTTTGAAGGGACTGCTATCAGGAATCCTAGATGAAATTTCCTTTTATGTAGTGATGCGTATTTATTTTTGTTTGAAATCTGTTCAAACATGGGACATTTCAAATATGGGACATTTGTATTGCTATCCTCCACACAGTGTTACATTCCTGCTACACTAATAGGAATTTATGAGCCTTATATAGATGGAAATGACATTATGTGTATAAATTGGGGTCAAAGAAATAAGTCACCAGTTTGTATAATTTATACTGTATATTCTCAATTCTTCTTTCCATAGAAGAACATTTATCTCTCTGAGTAAAACTCTTTGAATCTTTTTTTCTCTGGCTTTGGTAAAAGCCAATTTAATAAATAATACTCAGGTGATTCTTCTTATAGTTTGCAGATGGAGTTATCTTGCTTTTGTTAATTGGACAACTTGGGGGGTATTTCCTGAATTTAAGGGAGTTCTTCCTGAACCCAAACTGTGCTACGGAAATGGTAGGTTATTATTTATTTACTTAAGCCCGGATCCTGCAAACACCTTACATGTACTTTATGCACATGATTAGCCCCACTGAAATCACAGACACTACTGACAATGTGTAAAGTTAATCATATGATCAAGAGTTTGCAGGATAGCAGCTTTAGACAACACACAAGAGTGTTCTAAGCATGTTATAATTAATTTTTTAAAAAAACAAGTCCCTGTCCCCAAGGCTATACTGAAATCTACCATGATCCTACAAAATGAAAGTGATCATTATTTGCATTTGTTAACCAGACAAATGCACTGAATTCATAGTGCTTTAAATAAACATCTCTGTGTTGTATGGGTTGGAATGCGAATGCAATATTAGACCAACAGCTTCTTCCATTTAGCCACACGGGTGACACAGCAAGTGTAGGGGCCACAGAGATTCCCTCACATTGTCCCACAAATGTACCTCAACCATAACTTGATGGAACCACTGCTAAGGCCCCACGTAGGCAAGGTAACTTTTCTAAAAGTTTCCTGCTGTTGCTAACATCAATTCACCTGACCTCTGTTAGCAAAGCTGAGAGCCCTAGTACATACAGCCTGTCAAATACTGACCCTGTTTTAAAACTCTGATAATTAGATTTGGGGAAAAAATAAATTTGAATTGAATCAAAATGAAAGTTTTCCATCTTCAATCACCCTCTGCCTTTTCTTTCTCCACTATTTCTTTTGCTCTGATTCCATTAAATTGGAAACAAAACATTTTAATTTCAAATCACTTTAGAAGAGAAAAAATCAGTAAAACCCATGAAGAAGTTTGAACAAAACAAACATGTTTTTGGTTTGTTCAAAGAGTTTTGTAGAAAAGAATCCCCATTCTTTTGACCACCCCTGTTAGTTAATGATGCCTAAACATCTTTTTTGTGAGGAATGTAGATATCTCCATTTTTTGGAGCTAAATTGCAGAGTAAGACAGTGGCAGAGTTGGTATTAGAATCCAGAACTACTGACTCCCAGTCCTAGCCTCTACCCATTGGACACTGCCTTCAGAGAGGAATCCACTGAGAGTATGAAGCACTCTGCTGTGATACTGAATATGTCAAGAATTTTCATTTTAGCAAAGTTAATCCCAGGTACTGCTTTTGGTCAAAGCATTGTTTACTAATTTTTTTTCCTGTCTTACACCCTGAGTGATATAAAAATCTAACTACTGTAGTTCAGAGACTTTATTTCAATTTAAAACACTTCCCCCAAATCCCTTATGTACTCTAACTCCCCCACATTTTAGACATTAATTGGTACAGTAGAACATGACACTGTAACCTTCACTGCAGAACTCCTTTGAGATTTAAAACATGACATTCCTGTTATAAAAGGTGGTGACAACCAGCCATACCTTCAGGATCATTATTGTGTATTGTCTTTTACTCAAGTTGAAAGCTGATAGTTCAAAACCAGTAAATACAGTCTGTGTATCTTGGGCAGAGGAAATTGGAGTGAATTCTAGTGAGGGGGGAAAACACTGAAAAATAAAGGAAAATCGATATTAGGATATATCTAAAATGTATGTAAACTGAAAAGAAACCAAATGTGGTGGCGGCAGAACCCTGCTCAACATAGGATGGAACTATCCTTTACCTCTTAGAGATCTCCTCAGCAGGGCATCAGTGGTTGGAGTTATGCTCCTGCTCATCCTGTGGCAACAATGGGTGGTGCACTCTCTGATCTCTTGCTTCACCACCCTCCCTTTGATGTCAGAGGATGGCACTATCCCTTCCCCCCTTTCCTTTAGTATAGGTGGAACTGGAAGGCTCACCTATAGTTAAGGTTGCCTTGATACTTCCCATAAATCCCATTATAAGACCTTGTTCTCAGTTGATCATAACTTTGCCAAACTTCAACTATTTGGGCTATACTTTTCCAGGCAAGGTACCTGCCTCAGGCTGAATTTTTTTTTCCAACTAAAACAGTTCACCTATTTCTGAGAACGAGGTTAGGGGGAACTTTGTTGTTTTGCCCATACTAAAAACATTTTCACAACCCATTTGCTGAGAAGTTCTAGCTTCTCCATTCTTTGAAGCAGGAGGTGGTTTTTGTGAGGATTTTTGCCATCCCTGTGAAAAACTGCCCAAATTTGGTCAATTTATAAGCCTCTCAGTTGGCACATGGTCAGTATAGAGTGTTGTTTGAGTGTGGCAGCTAAATTCCCTGAAGATTCTGTCTTCACTGAGCACGCTCCATCCTCTCATTGCTCCTGTGTGTGACAGGACTGCACATGTACCATCCCCTCAGAGCAACCAAGCATGCTCCAAGCCCTGAGCTGCAAGGCTGCACAAGACTTTCTCTTCAGTTGCTTCTTCAGTAGTTGTGGGCCATTGTGGGCTGGGGCCATTGTGGACTTGGGCACTGGAACTGAGAGCAGGGAGACTGTCTCTTGTTCTCTCAGTGTTCCCAGTTGCTGGGCCTAGGTAGCGTGGAGGAAAAGGAGGAAGAAGCCACAGTGGGAATGAGGGTGACCAGATAGTAAATGTGAAAAATTGTAACACTTTTTTTTTCTCAGGGGTTGGGGGTATGGCTGAGTATATAAGCCAAAGTCCCCAATATTGGGATGTCTGGTCACTCTAGTGGGAATGCAGAAGGATGAGGAAGGGGAGGGATTTAGGGACCAGAGGATGAGCAGGAGCAGAGGAGGAGGGGAGAGGGGAGCAGGAATTGGGATGGGGGGAGGTTCATAGATTCCATGGCCAGAAGAGACCACAGTGATCATCTAGTCTGACCTCCTATATAACACAGGCCATAGAACTTCCCCCAAATAATTCCCAGAGTATATCTTTTAGAACAATGCTTTTCAATCTGTGGTCCACAGACCCCTGGGATTCTGCAGACTATGTCTAAGATTTCCAAAGGGGTCTGCACCTCCATTCAAAATTTTTTAGGTCTCTGGAAATAAAAAAGGTTGAAAACCACTGTTTTAGAAAAAATATCCAATCTTGATTTAAAGATTGTCAGTGATCGAGAATCCACCATGACCTTTGGTAAATTGTTCTAATGGTTAATTACCCTCACTGTTAAACATTTATGTCTTATTTTCAGTCTGAATTTGTCTAGCTTCAACTTCCAGCCATTGAATTGGGTTATACCTTTCTCTGCTAGATTTAGGAGTCCATTATTAAATATTTGTTCCTCATGTAGGTACCTATAGACTGTAATCAAGTCTCCCTTAACCTTCTCTTTGTTGAGCTAAATACACTGAGTTCTTTGAGTCTATCACTGAGACAGATTTTCTAATCCTTTAGTCATTCAACCCTCTCCAATTTATTAGCATCCTTCTTAAATTGTGTGCACCAGAATTGGACACAGTATTCCAGCAATGGTCACACTAGTGCCAAATACAGAGGTAAAACAACCTCTCTGCTCTACTTGAGATTCCTCTGTTTATGCATCCAAGGATCACATTAGCTCTTTTGGACACAGTGTCACACTGAGGGCTCATATTCAGCTGATTATCAGCTATGATCTCAAATCTTTCAGAGCCACTGCTTCCCAGGATAGAGTCCCACATCATATAAGGATGGCCTATATTCTTTCCTCCTAGATGTATACATTTACATTTAGCAGTATTAAACATATATTGTTTCCTTGTGATCAGTTTACCAAGCGATCCAGTTTTTTCTGAATCAGTGACCCGTCCGCTTCAATATTTACCACTCCCACAATCTTGTGTCATCTGCAAACTTCATCAATGATGTTTTTGTGGTTTCTTCCAGGTTATTGATAAAAATGTTAAATAGTGAACCAATCCATGTGGGGCCCACTGGAAACACATCCATCAATGATGATTCCTCATTTACAGTTACATTTTGAGACCTATTTGGTTAGCCAGTTTTTAAACCATTTAATGTGTGCCATGTTAATTTTATATCATTCTAGTTTTTTAATCACTATGTCACGCAGTACCAAGTCAAATGCCCTAAAGAAGTCAAAGTATACTATGTCAACACTATTACCTTTAACAACCCAACTTGTAAACTCAGCTAAAAAAGATATCAAGTTAGTTTGATTTAATCTATTTTCCATAAACCCATGTTGATTTGCATCACTTACTTTACCCTCCTTTAATTCTTTATTAATTGAGTCCTATATCAGCGGTTTCATTATATTGACTGAGATCGATGTCAGGCCTATAATTGCCAGGGTCATTCTGTTTATCCTTTTTAAAATTTGGCACAACATTAGCTTTCTTCCAGTTTTCTGAAAACTTCCCCAGTGCTCCAAGACTTATTGAAAATCAACATTAATTGTCCAGCAAACTACTCAGCCAGTTCTTTTAAAATCCTTGGATGGAAGTTATTTGGATCTCCTAATATAAAATGTCTAACGTTAGTAGCTTCTGTTTAACATCCTCCAGAGTAACTAGTGGAATGGAAAGAGTGTTATCGTCACCATATGAAGAGACTATATCATCTGTCTCCCCCCCCCCCCCCAATATAGACTAGAATTATTTATTGACCATGTCTGCCTTTTCTGCATTGTTATTGATAATTCTACCAGTTCCATCTAGCAATGGCTCAATACTATTGTTAGAATTCTTTTGTTTCTAAAATATTTTTAAAATTCCTTCTTATTGTCCTTAACTCTGCTGGCCATAGATTTTCCTCTGTCCCTTTGCTTCTCTTATCATTTTTCTACAATTCCCAACTTCTGATTTGTATTCATTACTATCACCTTCCCCATTATGCCATTTGTTTTTACACTCACACTCACTCTTACTTACTTTTTATAGCTGCCTACTTCTCCTCTAAACCAGGTCATTTTTTTAACCAGCACAGGCTTGTTCCTTGATTGTGGCTTTTGGGGCATCTAGTAAGATTTTCGTAAATGATTCCCAATTATCATTCACATTTTTCTGATTAAATTCTTCCTTCTAGCTGATTTGGGTCATAATTGTTTTCAGCTTTGTGAAATTGGCCCCATTAAAGAACCAGGTGTACATATTAATGGTCTGGACTTTATTCTGCTTGCAAATCATGATCACTTGTACCTAAGCTACCATTAATTTTTAGTTCTGTGATCAGTTCCTCTTCATCTGTTAGGAGAAAGTCTAATAAAGAATTCTCCTATGTAGGCTGCAACACTTTTTTGTTAGGACATTGTCATCTATAATGTTTAGAAATTCCAGGGATGTTTTGGTACTGGCAGCATGAGATCTCCAGCATATGTCATGAAGATTGAAGTCCCTCATGATCATGCAGCTTATTTTCCTTCACATTATAGATAAGTGCAAAGGAGGTGGTTATCCTGTTCCTAACACTGATTTGGTGGTCTATAGCAGACACCATCTGGTACTCCATCTGTGTGTTTTATCTGTTAGGACATTGATCTGTAAGCATTGAAGATCATTTTCTTCTAAGTTATTGGTGATTTGGAAACAGGTAATTCCACTGTTGACAAAGAGTGCCACTCTCCCTCCCCTTTTCCCTACTTGATCCTTCCTAAATAGGTTATAACCATTGATTTTAACATTCCAAATGTGAGAATCATCTCACCATGTTTCAGTAATGCTAACTAGACCAAATTTATGCTCATAAATGAGCAATTCCAGTTCCTCTTGTTTATTACTCAGGCTCCTAACATAGTGTATAGGCAATTCAGTAATTTCTTCTCTTCGTGTCCTTTGGTTCCTTGATTAATTTTGTTTTCAACATCTCAATTTTGTGCTGAGTGCTCATATCTTCCCTCTTTTTGCCTTATTAGTTTAGCTTTCTCCTGACTATTCTAGCCAGCCTGTCCCCAAAGTGATTGGTTCCCCTACTACTGAGATGGAGACCATGCAGACTATATAATCCCCTCTCCCCATAGAAAGTGGATCAATGTTCCATAAATCCAAAACACTATATCACTTACTTAGCCAACAATTCACTTCCAGAATCTTCTGCCTTTTGTCTTCTTTCACTCGTGGGACAGGAAGGATCTCAGAGATCACTTGGACATTCTTCTTCAGAATACTTCCAAGTTCCCTGAAGTCATCTACTATCTGCAAAATATCCCACAATACAGTGTCATTAGTTCCAATAGGCATCATCACCAATGGTGATGCCTGTCGACTTCAGAAGCCTATCCAGTCTTAGAGTGGTGTCTCATTTCTTGGCTTTAGGAAATCAGCACACTGTCCTATTGTCTGCCTGTGCCTTGCAGAATTTCTTTTGATTCTTCTGAGTATGAATCTCCAACAAGAATTATCTGTCTTCCTTGGACAGTTGGAGAACTTTTTGCAAGCAAGCTTGACCGTGACCGTATGCCTCTGGTGGTTATGAACTGCCAGGCTTCTTCTCTGATTTCCTCTCTCTTTGATTCCTTGGTGGCCAGGTCCCTTCTTCCTTGAACCTGGGGTAATAGTATTTCCTCTTCACCTTCTCTGATTCTCAGTAGTATCTCTCCTCCAATCCAAGAATCTTTTCTTCCAGCACAGCCACCAGCTTGCACTTCATGCACATGAACTCGCTTCTGTGTTCAGGCTGGAAAGAGGACATGTCAGATATGGAGAGGAAGACAATCTAGTGGCATGGGGCAGAAGAGTCTATAACCACTAGAGTAGACTTTTATCCAAGACTTCTCATATTTCCAACTTCCTATCAGGCTGGAAATGCTGAAAAGTATTACAGTGCTTCTGGTTCCATCTGGAAGTGCAGAAAGATGAATGTGCTCCCTTTATCCAAACCATTTTGCCTATCAGTAGTAAGTATCAGTACTGTGTCTTAAGATTTATATAAAAGATCAGCATTCTACTTTTATGTGGAAGTCTCATAAACTTGCTGAGGGAAACATCTGATCCTCCTCACTCGGTGACTTCATTAAACAATCATTTTATTCATCCCAGGTGAAGTTTGTAGCTCTGTATAATCCTCTTGTTTTCCTTGTCTGCCATGGATTTGAAGAAGAATCTAAACCTAGTTTCAAACTCTGTCATTGTTATCTGTAAATCACAAAACCAGGTGGAACATAAAGGTATCACTTTAGTTCAAAATAAAAGAGCAATAAGCTCTTGCTCAGCTTATGCATGGTTGGACATAAGTGCGTAACATGGGGAGGTTAAAAAGCACAGCATGCCAGCACTGTACACAGTACCTCCTGGAGGATAAGCTGATCAGGAGCAGTAGAATGGTTAAGGAAGCAATTTAAATTTTTGTTTTTGTTCTTACTTCATTAAAGGAATAGTCTTGTGACAGAACCTAAATAGACAACCTGTCTTTAGATTGTTAAAATCAAGAGGCGAATGGGATCTGGAATGTAACTGTAAATAAATAAAAATCAAGAGCTTGAAAAATACTTGATTCCTAGAAGTGTCCTTAATATCTCAAGTGCGATATCCATGATGATATCATCAGTAGACCTTTGTATGTTAAAACATTATCCTAATGTTTGCATTTACAGCTGCTCAGAAATTTCAAACCTTTAGGATTTTAAATGAAAAATAGAATACTTTCTGCAAATTTAATTTATGTTAAACATTTCCCTGTGTTTTTATCAAACTTTTAATTTTTGGGGCTCTCATTAATGCAAGATTTTCAGAAAACTTTTAAATGAATTGATCTTTCTGCATCCCTTCTCATGTAATTTTTAAAGGAAATTTGGTTTCTATTTTTCTGATTTGGTAATTGATAGAAGTGATTATAAGCTTTTCACCAGAACTAAAGAGAGTATGAAAAAAATGTTGGTACAGCAATGCTAACTCCCATTTCAACTACCAAAGAAATAAAGCATGCACTATCTATATTTGGCCTGAGTTCACTTTGTTTCATTGATCTTGTCTGATCAACAGCTTCACAATGTTAACCTTGCAGTGGCTTTGCTGACAGATGGAGGTCTTCTAGATTTTCCTGTCAATGCTGAAGGTGAGTCATAACATAGTAATTGTTCTGGAAGAGAATGATTCTTGCTCTGGTTCATGAAAAGCTAAGATACTCAGCTAGAGAATCTTCTCCAACATGACAACCACATATTTCATAACATTTCCTTTGCTTCACATCTCCTGTATATATCCCATATTTTAACAATCTAGTCTACACTAAAAAAAAAGAAGTTCTATTGTTACAATACCCACTGTTTGGTAAGTTAACACCATTTAAAGCAAGAATGAAATTATGTAAGATACATCCGTAGTTGCTGAAATTACCAATTAGGAGTAAGTGTGTTGTCTGTGGGACCTCGTTGCCAAAATCAGGATGTGAATGTATTAGTAGATTTTTAGAGACAGAAGTGACCATTATGATCCTCTAGTCCAAGCTCCTAAATAACATAGACCATTCAATTTCACCCAATCATTCCTCAATCAAGCCCAATAATGTGTTGCTGAACTACAGCATATATTTTAGAGAGACCTCAAGTCTTTATTTAAAGATGTTAAGTGATGGGCATTTTACCATGTTCCCCAGAAAGCGATTCAAGTGTTAAAAATGGCATCTTTTCCCAGTTGGGTAGTCCGCTCATGAACAAGATTGGGGTATGTGTACATATGAGCACATGGAATGGTCATCTATCTGTACCTACGTCATTGGGTAGAGACAATCAAAAAATGGAAGGTGTGGGAATTATGAAAATTTGTTTAATTTTTTTCGTTAACATTTTCGATGTTTTTTTCCAACCAGCTTTACTCATGGGTAGCTGTCATTAATGTCAATGTGAGTGATTTGTGAGCATGCAGTGAAAAATTGGAGCCTTTATGCCCTATACTTGGAACTTGAAGTTCAGTGAACCAGTCTAGTTAAACTGTGAAAGCCTCTGGGTATACCTTTTCTTTGAGCATTGGACATCCATTTCTCTAAATGTGGAGGATTGCCTCAAATAATGTCTAATGTTGATTAATGTGGGAAATATAAACTCCAGCCTCTGTGTATCATTTATGTACAGCTACATAGGCCAGATCCTCAGCTGATGAGTGTTGGTGTTTAATGGAACTACACTGTTTACACCAGCTGAAGATCTGGCCTAGTGGTCCTACTGCTGGTCTATGTTCAGTACAAAGCCATACATTTACATTACTTGAAGAGGAGCAGCAAGCCCTCTGTCTCTCATCATTTGGAAGAAGTAGTAGTTTGCATACAAGTTGATGTATTAACTAGCAAAAACCCTTGTCAAACATGAGTTGAGGTTGCTTAGCAGTACCTTGTGCACTTTCAGAATATGGAAGTTAGCAGCTGAAAACTGCAACCTTCAAAAAGCAGGAAGTACACACCACAGAATAAAGTGCAAACACTACAAAGCCAGGAAATGAAGAGTTAAGGCAATGTCTGCTACTATTCACATTATAATAGAATCACAAAAAATACAGTTATCAAGAAAATCTAATAACTTTACATTTCCTGTTTTGGTTCTTGATTTAGTTAGATTGTAATTTGGGGAAAGTGAAAGATTATCTTCAGTGCTTTGACATGTGAAGGCTTGTTTCTTTCTTGTGTATCCACAGATATAGTGAACAGAGATATGAAGACTACATTGCAGGTTTTGTACTGCTTGTATTCCAAATACAAGACCAAAGAAACATGAAGAGTGAAACTAAGAGCTAGATTTTCTTGCTAGTGTATGCTGGGTTTAATTTTCAGTCCCTAGCTATGTGTTTGCCACTTTGCACATGCGCACACCCTGTATGACACTTGTTGTATTAATATGCTTTGAAAAGTGTGTATGCTTGCAAAGTTGCAGTTATATAACTTGTGCTATCTATAATATAAATGTGTATGCACGTGCGTATTCAGGGGCCAGTGTTTTCTGCTGTTCCTTGGCTGTGAATTTTGCCACAGAAACAGAATCCACCCCTTGCTTCGTCTAAGGCCCCCAAATGTTGTAAAGACTTGTCAATGTGCTACCCCAGCCCCTGCTTCAACACCTCACCCTTTTATCAGCGAGGGAGCTGGAAGTCATTTTTAGAACTTCGCACCTGTACTTGCACTGAGGTTGCTGCAGCACCATGATGGAGTTGAAGTCCATGGATAGATTCCAAGGGGGCTTGAAGCCCATAGTCTAATAACTCCTGTACTACATTTTCAGGCAGGATGATGAGATTAATAATTTTAAAAAATGGCTAGCGGTATGAAACTTGACAAGGCATGAAATGTTTGAAAAAACCTGCTTGCCTCTTAAAATACATTTTACATTGGCGAGACTATGCAGGCCATCCACTCTACAGTATTGTGGATTTCCCCGGTCCTCCATACCTCCTAAAAAACCATGAAAGAGCCCCCTTATTTGCCCTTTAATCTAACACAACATTGTGGCCTGCTGCAGCCCTCTTCTCCCTGCAACTCTTGTGCACCTACTTATGGCCAGCCTGAATACTAGTCTCTGCACTATCTAAGTGCAAGGGGAGAGTCTAACATGACTCCACCTTCCCCCTTACAAGGGTGCATGGAAGGGTGGGTTGGGGTGTGGCTCATTCTATCCCAGTAACACTCAGAGTCCAGCACTGATGGGAGTTTATACTGAAACCTTTTTGTAGCTGCCACTTCTGAGTTTGCTCTTGTAGGGCACACAAACTGTATTGGGACTATACAGGATACCTATTCTGTACAATACCTCCAGCAGCTGCCACTAAGGTATGCACCCACGCAATCCCCACCCTAATGTAACTGTGGCTGCAAAAGCCACATTCCTCTCCTTTAACTGCCACCCTGGTGTTTAAGTCCTAGGCCCTTTGCGGCTTTCTTCAGCTTCATTTGACCTTAACGTTATTTTAAATTTGCATTTCATGTATATTTGGCTTTGAAAAATTATAATTATGCAAAGCTACTGAAGGAGAGAGTTCCACAAACCGCTATGAACATCATAATCCCATTTGCATTGATGCTAATTATCAAGATACATTTTACAAAGGAAAATCCAATGTCTGGCGCCAACAGGTTACCAAAAAAGAGCACCCTGCTTCAATAGCAAAAGTTAATTAAATCAGCTATTCCAAAAGATTCATATGACGTACATTCTTAGGGTTATCTCATGTATGAATCTCTGTAGATATCTTGTTTTATTCTCCTGATGGGCTCCAAACATCTAATGAAGGGGAAGACCTTAAAAGTTTGTGTTATTTATTCACTGATACGTTTACCGGAACATTACATGAAGATTAGAACACCGCTAGATTACTGAGGATACAGAAATAGAATGTCCATCACAGAGGGATTTAATGACTCTGGGGACTGGTACTATGGTATAGGCACAGCCTTTTGCCGTTAGGTAATTGGTTAGAATCCAGCCCATGTTGTTAGTGACTGGAAGTCATTACTAGATGATGTATTTTTAGTGGCCTATGGTCACATAAACACCACCCAATACCGGAAACCTACTGACAGCTATACTTACCTACATGCCTCCAGCTTTCATCCAGGACACATCATACGATCCATTGTCTACAGCCAAGCTCTAAGATACAACAGAATTGGCTCCCATCCCTCAGACAGAGACAAACACCTACAAGATCGTTATCAAGCATTCTTAAAACTACAATACCCACCTGGGGAAGTGAGGAAAGAGATTGACAGAGCGAGACAGGTACCCAGAAGTCACCTATTACAGGACAGGCCCAACAAGAAAAATAACACCACTGGCAATCACATACAGCCCCCAGATAAAACCTCTCCAGCACATCATCAACGATCTACAACCTATCCTGGAAAACAATCCCTCACTCTCACAGACCTTGGGAGGCAGGCCAGTCCTCACTTACAGACAGCCCCCCAACCTGAAGCAAATACTCACCAGCAACCACACAACAGAACCAGTAACCCAGGAACCTATCCTTGCAACAAAGCCCGTTGCCAACTGTGTCCACATATCTATTCAGGGGACACCATCATAGGGCCTAATCACATCAGCCACACTATCAGAGGCTCATTCACCTGCACATCTACCAATGTGATATATGTCATCATGTGCCAGCAGTGCCCCTCTGCCATGTACATTGGCCAAACCGGACAGTTTCTACGTAAAAGAATAAATGGACACAAATCAGACCTCATGAATGGTAACATACAGAAGCCAGTAGGAGAACACTTCAATCTCCCCGGTCACTCAATAACAGATTTAAAAGTAGCCATACTTGAACAAAAAAACTTCAGAAACAGACTTCAAAGAGAAACTGCAGAATTAAAATTCATTTGCAAAGTTAACACCATTAATTTTGGCTTGAATGGGGACTGGGAGTGGCTGGCTCACTACAAAAGCAACTTTCCCTCTCCTGGAATTAACACTTCCTTATCAATTATTGGGAGTGGACTACATCCACCCTGATTGAACTGGCCCTGTCAACACTGGTTCTCCACTTGTGAGGTAACTCCCTTCTCTTCATGTGTCAGTATAATAATGCCTACATCTGTAATTTTCACTCCATGCATCTGAAGAAGTGGGTTTTCTACCCATGAAAGCTTATGCTTAAATAAATCTGTTAGTCTTTAAGGTGCCACCGGCCTCCTTGTTGTCTATGTGAAATGAGTTGGTGATCTCAGTCCAATTCCTAGCTAGGCAGTAGTCCATATCACACAAATAAACCTTTCCTACTTTTTACAGACCCTTTCCTACTTTTAACATCCCTATTTTACAGACGGAGAAAATGAAGCACAGAAAGGTTAGCAAGTTAGTGCAGAGCCAAGAATATGATCCATAAGTGCTGGCTCACAGTCCCTTTCTCCAGAAAGCACACCTTCAAACTTTCCCTTTTCCTTTCTCCAAAACATGTCTGTCCATTAACCATGCCCCCTCCATCACCAGATCAAGAGTGCAATTCCCACAGCTGATCACATAAAAGCTCTTCAAATGTATTACTCTGAAATGAATGAAAATCATTCTCTGTCTTGAAAATTGGAGATGGTCCTGATTTTGTAACATCTTGTGCTCTTTTCGTAAAGGGGAAGTTCCAGTAAATAATGTAATGGAACGGAAGGTAGGGCTGTGGGAAAGCAAATATTTAGATTTCATCTCATGGCATTTAAAATCTTGTGGTCAGATCCTCAGCTAGTGTAAATAAATACAGCTCTTTTGAGGACAATGGATCGATTTATGCCAGATACCTATCTAGCTCCTGAATAGGTGGATGGACTATGCTCTCCTTTCCACCTCAAGTTCTCGTAAGCCCTTTTGTAATGAGTAATCTTTTATTTTTATTTTTGATGTATGTTTTCAAAAGAATGACAACTAATGTAGTTGAATCAGTAACTTTAAAATAGAGACTGAAAAATGAATATTTTAATGTCTTTCACACTTTAAGCCAATTCATAATGTGCGTGATGTCTTGAATAAGCATATGTCTAATTATAAAAAGCCTATGTCTGATTCGTAAAGCATACTTTAGAATTTTGGTAATCCATTAGACAGCCACCCACTCCATAATTTTCTATAGAAATATGTACAAGTGCACTACTTATGTATGGGACACAGTTATAGATTTGTCATAGATTGATTAGTAAATACAGAGTGACCGTGCTAAAGCACAGATTCCATCAGCATGGAACTGGGGAAAAGAGAGTTATTTATTATTATTCTAAGATGTTATTTGTGCCTGGCGCAACCAGTGACAGACTTGCTTTCTTTTTTCTCTTATGATTATCAGTCAATAAAAGAAAAATAAGCCTGTTTGTTCTGTATTTACTGGCAAATCTATCATGACATTTTAAGTAATGCCCCAATATGGATATGTCATGGAATAATTTGCCTTGCCATATAATTAAATATACAAATGTAACTCTCCTGTAATTTTTAAATCCTAGAAATTAAGTATTCCCCGAGGGGAGAATTGGGTGTGCTACTAGAATTCTAATCTATTCTGTTTTCATTACACCATATAAGTAGGCATATAAATTGAATTATGATGGATTGAAGACTGGCAAGTATTTCTAAGGAGCCAATGGCTCTGAGTGAATCAAATAATTTTAGAAGACAGAAAAAATATTGCACTGTTCTATTAAATATTCAACAGGTGATCCAAGATGCTGCTAGTAGGGTGAATGCTAAACAATTCAGGGTGAATGCAGGGTGTTATCAGCTTGTTATATTGTCCTACTGGGAAGAGAATCTCTGAGGACAGGAATGTTGGCAGCAGGGCCAGTTACCCAATATGCACTCAGTGCACTTGCACAAGGCCCCCATCTTATGGCAGCAGGGCCTTGTGGGCCAGGAAAGGGGCAGGGCATTGTAGGGGGTGAGGGGCAGAGGAGGGCTCCGTCTGCCTCGTGTGGCAAAGCCCACAGGCTGGAGCAGGGAACCAGGCCCCACCCACGGGACAGGAGCCTGTGGGTGTTTGCAGCTAGGCAGGTTCATTCTCCAACACCTCAGGGGCTCCCACCCTGTGGGGGCAGGACCTTAATGTCTCCCATCCTTCCGGGGGCAGGGAAGATGTGCCCAATTTCCATTGTGCATAGGGCCTCAAAATTCTTTAATCCTGGCACTGGCTGGCAGGAGGCCTGTGGAAAGAAGGGCCCAGGGAAGGGTGGAGTTACTGTGATGCACTGATTGTACGCTTTAAGCACAGGATGCAGTGGATGTGCAAAAGCATCTAGACTTGTTATAGAATGAAAAGGAAAACAAATAGACATAACTAATTTGAATACAGCAGGCTCTGTAAAACTCATGAGATCAGGATTCCTGGCCCTCTACAAGACAGGAGTTACTTCCTATGGGATTCCTTAATCACTTTTGAACTCCCCAGTGTGGGGCCAAACTGCAATAGGAACCTCTCCCTGCATTCTTTCCAGGTAGCTGGCCCTTAAAATTTGGGAGCAACAAGCAGTTGTAGTCCTAAAATGACCATTATACGTTTGCCTGCTGAAGGCGAAAACCTCTTTTCCTTCCAGCAGTAAGTATTTTTTTTCTTCTTTTCTAATTCTTGAAGAGATCATTTGTCCCCAGAGTTACCTGCCACCATCTCATTAGCAACTAGGTTTTAAACCTTAGACATCAGTTAATCAAAGTTTCCCCTCCCCCTGAATTCAGAAGAAAGATACAACTTCACTGCTCTAAGGACTAACAGCCATTCTGAGGTTTTGCATGCTTTATTTTTCAAGGAATTTATTTCAGAATTAGAAATAACTGGTGATATTAGTAGGGAGGTTGCAGAAAACAAAGCAGAAGAAAGGCCATGCTACATCATCCCCTCCATTGATGCAGAGGCTGGTGGATTTCACATGGAAGCTCACATTTCCAGGGGGAACACAAAAAGAGAGAGAGAGAGACACTAGACTGGAGATTAAAGTGAATCATAATTCAGGAGCATCACTGAAGGTTAAAACCCAGAGAGGTCTTTTTCAGCCAACAGGTTGTTGAATCTGAAATTGAAAATAAAAATCTCCCTTTTGAATTTTGGTTTAAAGAACATCAGAACACCTTTTTTCATTGATTGTTTCTGTCCACACCCCAGTGGCTGCAGGCTCCCAAAATTTGGCTCTCTCTCACTCCATTAAAACAAGCGTGTCCTGAGCCCCTCAACTTTAGCAACTAAGCAATATGAAAGGCTTTAAGGATTTCGTCCAGAGACATTTCCAGGGTGCCTTTCTAAAATTTAAACCTATGAAATCTCACCCACCCAGGTGGAAAAGATCCATAGCCTCAGAAATTATATAAAATGAGGTAAGTATTGAGTAGAGTAGGCCAGAAAATGATTTTTTTTCTCAGTGGAAAATTTGGAGGTTTTGGTGAAAAATTAAAAATAAAAGTATTTTGATTCTGAAATAGTGCCTCATGGGAGGTGTAGTTCCCATGCCTCATGCTCCCCTTCTGCTCTATAGGCTGGGATTCCTGGTCACACTACATCTCCCATGATGCACCATGGTCTCCCTCTTGGTGAGGGGTATATCATGGAAAGTCATACGGCTGCAGTGCATTATGGGAGATGAAGTCTGGCTTGGGAACCTGGTCCATAGAGAAGAATGGGAGCATGAGGCTACTGAACTGCAACTCCTGTGAGGCACTGCAGTGGCATTTCAGGAAAAAAATATTTCTGGTTCTGGGTGTTCATTTCTTTGACAAAAAATTAAAAATTTTCCATGGCCACTTTTTGTGAAAACTTTAGTTACAAACCTTATTTTCCATCAAAAACCTGTTTTGATAGAAAATATACACTAGCCCTATTCTGTGTCTTCACCATGACTTGTGTGCCATTGCATGCCTCATGATTCAATGTAATTAACACCTCTGGTCTCAAGCATTTTTTCTCTGTATTTGTCAGCTTTTATGGTGGACTTCATGTTACTTTAACGGTGGTGAATGTAGCTGGCTGAACACCCCTTGAGACTGAAGCCTCCAGTTTACTACCAGGACACTTACAGCTCAAGTAATGGCAGTGTAAACTCGCTTCCTGATGCCATAGAAAATTAACGTACCTCAAACCAGTATTGGAGAATCCAACTATTTACTTACCTACAGGAATAGCCCCAGTAATGTCTGAGCACTTGATAACTAGTTGGAGTAATAAGAAGGCAGTTTTGGCTCGATGCTCCCTTAGTTCTTATTGGTTCTGATAAGATTGCTGACTGGGTGTGTTGTGACAGATCGCTCTCAAGGGTATAGAAAAGAATAACGTTGTTATGGAAGGACTTTGTCTAGGATGCTTTTCCATGAAGCTAGAAGGTCAAGAATTGCTGTTGAAACTTCTTTTAGCGGATCCCCACAGCAGGAATTTTGACTCTGGCCCACCTCTAATTGAGAATCCATGTAAAACGCATACCTTGTACTTTCCACAGAGCAGATGGTGCAACAGGCTTTACTGACTGCAGCCAGTAAAATAACAGATTGTCTAGAAATTTTCTTCACTCTTGGCAGACAATTGAATTTAGAGTGCAGCATGATGCTTAAGCTTATTATACATTTCAGCAAAAGTGGGCAGTCAGTGAAATTTTTGTCATCGGCTTTACTAAAAGCTCCTTAAACTAAAAGATAGATGTTGGAAGTCGCTTCATGTTAAATGATTTGGCCAACAGTTGGGTGTATGTGTTTGTACCCCTTTTGGAGAAGACTTGTGGTACTGTGAGTAGAAAAAGACATTTTTGTATGTGTAGGATTAATTTACTTGCCAGACTTTTTTTTTTTTTTTTTTAAAGTATAGTGGAAACCTCTTACATCTAGTGTGTCACATTTCAAAAGTTTGTAAAACCATACTTTGTTTCCAATATTGCAGATGAGAAAACTGAGCTTTTAAATGTATTAAAAGTTAGGTCATGTATATTAATTCTTTGTCACAATAGCGATTTTGATTCTTGGAAGGATAGCTAGGTAAGTGCAATTAAGTCTTGAGCCATGTCTATGCTGTGTGGCAAATTGCCGGCACTACTGTGATGGGTCACGTGCTTTCTCTTCTTGTGGGGGTGGGGAGGGAGTTCAGGGCACCATTTCTTGCCCCTGAACTGGGGTATTAACTGCCTCACTAGTGTCCTAGAGGAGGGGAGTGGAGAGGGAGGGACCTTGGCCTGCCCT